TTCTGACCTTACTGGCAACTATGGACAAACCACTGGCTAAGAGTCTACTTTGGGGATAGGTGTTACTGATGCTTAACACTGTAATTACAGTTAAGTCTCTGACCATATGAGTCACAACTATTTTCTGTACCTCTGTTCTTTTCAACTGGTCTGTGTGTCATCTCCAAATGCTATCATGAGCAATCGCTATAAAAGTTTGAGTTTCTTCTTTGTTTTGGTTGTTCACTTACACTCTAGTTTTTGTTAATGTAGTCATATGCATATTGAGGTCATTGGAAATATCTCTGATCAGTTTGAACTTACATTCACCATAACTAAAAATGATGTGCCATAAATGATCCTGCAAAGTCTATATGAATTATTTACCACATCAAAGTACACCATTTACACACATAAAGTACTATTTTTTTTCCATCTTTGGGCAATATAAATAGTCTAAACAACTAGTTGCAAATGTTTAATTAGTTGGTCTATGCATGGTCATCAAGCAAACTACAAGTTGGTGTCTTCATCTTTAATACGTAAAGATGTTGGCCCTCCAACACTTCAGCTTGGTCCCCCATATAACGCTGCCACTGTCAATGGTAAGTTCTCTATGTCACTGATAGGTAAAGATAAAGCTGTCTGATTCTAGGCAGCAGTGCTTATTTCAGTTTATTAGCTGAGGGACCCAGCATTGTCCAAAGACATCTCCATGGTCATGGGACCAACATGGCTATACACCAATGGCACATGGAACACTCTTACCTTCCCATTGAAGCAGTACCTATTTATCTACTTGAACTTGCATGCTTTCAAATTGCTAAGTAGGCAGGAGCTGGAGCAAGGACAGGAGCTCACCCCGTTGCACAGTATTTGAGTCTCAAACCATTTGATACCACTCTATAAACTGAGATTTTTACAAGGGATTTAAACCCTTTTGGACTGATGTGTTGACTTTAGTCTTGGATCTCTCCTAGTTTCTTTAAATCATCCCAGCTGGAATGCGAAGATTCCTTTCAAAATGTCAAAGGAAATCCAATATGATCTGGATTTCTCATAATGTTTAAATATACAGCTAAAGCACAATATTAGGCATTGTAGTTATAGTTTCCAAATCCTTCAAGAAAAATTCCTGACCCAACTAGAGCTCTCACGGACTGCAAGTAGGAACAGAATAGGAATGAATGATTTTCAGTGAACAAATGTTTAGAATGAAGTCCTTAGGATTCACGTTGGGACCAATATTTTTTAAATTGTTCATAATTGGCTAGAGTTAGTAAGTAAAGTGAAAGCTCTAATATAATATTTCTACATTGGTTGAATTAATCTTAAAATAGGGAATTCTGTTCAATGTAAGCAAATGGAAATGTTGCAGATTAGACAGACATAAAAAGAAATTCAAATGACATGTACATATTTAGTAGACAGATATTGATCGGGAAAGGATTTGAGAAGTGCAATGGATGTGGCTGCTGCTGCTGTTACAAACAGGAAGAAGTTGAATATTCTGGAATAGAATAATTCTATGATGATTGTATATAAAGCCGTAGTGGCGAAACTATGGCATGCGTGCCACAGGTGGCACACAGAGCCCTCTCTGTGGGCATGCGCGCCATTGCCCCAGTCCTAGGCCTTCAGCTGGGTTTTATAAAACATTTTTGCTTTATGCCTCTGCGTGCAAAAAAAAAAAAGGTTCAATCAATCAATCAATCAAGTTCAATTTCTCATGGGAAAAAAAAAGATCTCACAAAGTTGGAATTGATTGATTGAACTTTTTTGTCCCACCCAGTCTGCCGTTACCACAGCAGCCATGTCCACCCAACGGGCTACACCCACCCAATTGTCCACACCCACCCAATGGGCCATGCCCACCCGGCACCCGATGATACATAAGTGGGTTTTGGGCTGCAGTTTGGGCACTCGGTCTCTAAAAGGTTCGCCATCACTGGTATATAGTATACAGTTCCAGTCATTACACCACAGAACAATAAAAGCTTTAGAGAATTAAAGCACTCTGAATCATCATCCTTCTATCTAAACTTATGACCTTCCCGATACATTATGAATGGTCCTTTGCAACACTAAATGCTGGATTAGACTATCATTTAGCCTGGAGAGGCAGGGCCCTTTTTTATGTTCTTAATCTCCAGCATTAGGAATGACTAAATTTGGATGTTCTGCCAGAAAATGGCCCTGGAATGCAGACAATAGAGCAGTTGCCAGTTTGACAAACAGCCATACTTTGGGGTGAAGCACAAAATATTTGGACATTCGTACATTTATAACTCTTTTTCTTCCAAAAAACTTCTTCAAAAATTCACCAGACAGGATACTTGCTAGTCCTTGTGGTAAAAGTGAAGAGATTATTTGTGAGCAAAATACCCAATTGGATGCCAAAATAAATAAATAAATAACTAAAAACGGAGGCGGAGTTCAACTAGAATGAGCCACTAGGGCAGTGGTTCTCAACCTTTTTAATGCCGCGACCCCCAACCGGTCGTAAGTCGAGGACTACTCAACCGGTCGTAAGTCGAGGACTACTCAACTGGTGCAGCACCGTTTGCAGAATGGGACTTTTGGCGGGCTCAGCAGGGCAGAGACAGCCTGGACAATTCCTATTGGCTTTTGAAAGCCAATAGAATTAGACTCTATTCAAGAGAGTCTATTCTATTGGCTTTCAAAAGCCAATAGAATAAAAGGGAGTAGCACAGCTAAGGAAAAGGGGGAAAAAATGGCGGACTGCGTTGTTTGGCGACCCCCGTGAAATGGTCGTTCGACCCCAAATGGGGTCCCGACCCACAGGTTGAGAACCACTGCACTAGGGAATAGCTGGCTCAGGAATTCTAGGAGTTGAATTCCACGAGTCATAAAAGAGCCAAGGTTGCCTACCTCTGCACTAGGGAAATTGTGTAGTTATGTAGCACTACTTCATCGATAGAATGGTTTGCTGAACATGATGCATTTTGTTTCTATCAAATCAATGATTACAGTTTGATTATGTCTTGAGTATAAAGAAAAATAGTGATAGTACTTTAGCTAGCATAAGTTTTCCTTCATTTTATTTATTAAATATAAGGCAAATAAAATCAGATGTAGCTAATTTAGAAAAAAGAAAAAAAAACCTCCAATTAAAAATTTCCCTAGAAATCCCACACCACTTTCCCTTTTATTTCTCATGTCGATAGCCAAGATGACAATGGAGGAAATTATGAGATATGGCAAAGTTCTGAAGGTTTAAGTTAAAAATCTTTAAGATGTGGAATGTGTAAATGGTGCAGTGTAGGTCAGGGGTGTCAAACTCAATTTCATTGAGGGCCGCATCAGCATTGCAGTTGCCCTTGGGGGGGGCGGGTGGGTGTGGCCAGGGTGGGTGCAGCCTACTGGGTGGGTGTGGATGGAGTGGGTGTGGCCTACTGGGTGGGCACGGCCAGCTCTACATCGTTTGCGTCAAGGGTGCCTGTGGAGGCCTGGGCAGGAGTGGGACAGATCTGAGGGTCTCTGGCAGAAGGGGGTGGAACCGGGGCAAGTGCCAAGGCATGGTCCACCGGGGCAAGTGCCAAGATGGCCACCACAAAATTGTACATTGGCTCGCGGCTGGCCTGGGCCAGGCCAAGGCAGCAGGGGCCATTCCCTCACTGTTTCCAGGATGGTTTTGCGGTCCACATAAAACCACTTCGCGGGCCGCATCGGGCCCCCGGGCCTTGTGTTTGATATGTCTGGTATAGGTGGAACGTGTATGGCATAAGGAAGTAAAACAAGGACACTGATCTGGAGAAAGTTTGAAAAAAGGAAGAGCCAAGTAATGTTTGTTTGCTTTTAAAGAATATAATTCTCTCGTCAGGGTTCAGGGGCCCTGCCTGCTACCTAATATACAAATAGAAATCCACCAGGGCCCTAAGTTGGAGAAAGCTATTATAGAGATCATTGTTCTCATGTTCTTTGTCATATCACACCATCAATTTCGCTAGCAATTATTAAGCATTTTTTGAAAAAGAAAAAAAATACATCACCTCTTCTAGATAAACTCTCTTTACCCAAAGTTCTTGGATTTTTATCCCTATTATCCCCATAATTCTGATAATAAAGCAGAAGTTTTCAAATGTTAGGGTTACACTAGAACAGCGGTTCTCAACCTGTGGGTCGGGACCCCATTTGGGGTCGAACGACCATTTCACAGGGGTCGCCAAACAATGCAGTCCGCCATTTTTTCCCCATTTCCCCCCTTTTCCTTAGCTGTGCTATTCCCTTTTATTCTATTGGCTTTTGAAAGCCAATAGAATAGACTCTCTTGAATAGAGTCTAATTCTATTGGCTTTCAAAAGCCAATAGGAATTGTCCAGGCTGTCTCTGTCCTGCTGAGCCCGCCAAAAGTCCCATTCTGCACACGGTGCTGCAAGTTGTCTGCAGCGAAGGCGAGCTGTCTGGAAGTTTCCACCCCTTGCTGCTGAGCAACTACTAAAAATGTAAGTAAAAGAGGGCCAGGGGTGGGAGGTGGGAGGCCGGCGGGCGCAGGGAGGATTGCTGGCACGCGTGGGGCCCGGCGGGTGCCTTACCTCCCTTGGCCTGGGCCAGCTGGTGGCCCAGTAGGTAGTCGCCCTACACCGTCTCTGCCGCTTGCCAGCTACGCCTTGGGCGGTGCAGGGGGCAGCACCACGCATGCGCAGCGCTCTCGGGCAGGGAAAGTCCTTGACTTATGACTGGTTGGATAGTCCTCGACTTATGACTGGTTTAGTCCTCGACTTACGACCAGTTGGGGGTCGCAGCATTAAAAAGGTTGAGAACCACTGCACTAGAAGGTGCCTTCTCTAGAAGACCTGTGTGCTGAAGAGTTGGTTTATGGACCAAAACTTCTCAGCATCCCCTTCTCTTCCGTGAAGAGTCCCAGCTGACATGTTCAGTACATTCTCGATTCTCATCCGCCCATTGCGCCTGCCGCTGCTGCTGGGAAAGGAAACGAAGGATGGCGGATGAGAAGCCTGCCCCGCTGCTGCTGGATTACAAGCCGAGAAAAGCAACCCCAAGGCTTCTTCGGTCTTGCGGAGAAATAGGATAGCCCGGGGATTGGAGGACGGGGGGGGGATGGAGGGGGCTGGTGCTTCCGAGACGTTGGGATGGGACTCTATGGGTGCGGCAGGACCTGCGCCGTTGAGCGCTTATTCAAGAGTGCCCTCCTTCGGAGAGGATCTCGGTCTAGAAGCGGGATGCAGCCTTTCGGCTGGCCCTTTCGGGAGCCCGGCTTTGCATTGAACTGAACCGAACCGCATACTTCATTGGCCAAGTGGGGTTGCCGACGCCTTCGGTCCTGAGTTTAGAAAGAGGCCTCGACCCCCCCTCCCCTTCCCCTTCTCTACGGCTTCGCGAAAGCGACGCTCCACCTCTACCCCTCCTCCCTCCCCCTCCCGCTCTCTCCCTCCCGCTATTATTTCGCCCCCCGCGTCTTCAGGCGCAGCTTTTCGCTCTTTTCCCCGGAGGGGAAGCCGGGCGTCGAGATGGGCGTCAAACTGCGCTCCGGCTTTTACCTGGGAAAGAAGTTCGCGCTGCTGCTGGCGCTGCTCCCGGCCGCCCTGCTCTTGGCGCTCCTGGTGCTGGCGATCCTCTACGGGCGTTGCGCGTGGGGACCGAAGGAATCCGACCAGCTGATCCCGGGCGTTCCGACGACGCCCGGGGCCAACGCCAGCGCGGAGTCCGCGGCGCGGCCCTCGGGGCCCTGGGATCAGCAGCGCTTGCCCCGGCACGTCACGCCGATCCACTACTCGCTCCTGCTCTGGCCCCACCTGGCGCCCGGCCTCCCCGAGCCCCGCACGCACTCGGGACAGGTGAACATCACGGTGCGATGCCACGAAGCCACCTCCACGGTGCTGCTGCACAGCGCCGAGCTGACTTACCAGGGCGCTTCAGTGTGGGGCCCGCTGGAGGAGGCGCCCGCCAACACCAGCCGCAGCATCCCGCTGGGGGAGGTGTGGATGGCCCCTGCGAACCAATACCTGGTGCTGGAACTGCTGGAGAGCCTGAGAGCGGGAAGCCTCTACGAGCTGCGGTTCGCCTTTCAAGGGAAGATTCAGCCGGGGCCGGACTACTCCGGGCTCTTCCTGAACACCTACGAGGACGAAGGCGAGAGCAGGTAGGTCTGTTCCCAAGGATGCCGCTTGCTCAGACCCTCAGCCGACTGGAGGCTTATAATAGGGCTGGTGATTACTCGCTACCTGTAATCCTGTCCTGCAAAGAAAGGCAGAAGACACATCTAGGGGGTTATTCTAAGCAAAGCCACCGTACCATAATCGTCATGCAGATAAATATCAATTTCTTTAAGAAAAGGATGCCCTGTTCCAAAATAGAACAAAAGGAATTTTGGTGACAATGCATCCAGCTGGTTGAACCACATTATAACCTGTTTTTAAATTATAAAGGGTATTAAGTAACACTTCTGTGGTCAGCTGATACTCCCTGGAGTTGCCCAAGACCTTTCATAGCTGCTGCACTGGTGGCTACTTCTTGTTCCTTACTGGGGGAGGGGGGAAAGATACAGGGTGGGACAGTGGTGCAGCTTGATCATATAGGGTCTGAATTTATGTATGGTCCAGCCAGCTGTATTGCTTTTGCTGTGAAGCACCCAATTTAGAACATTGAGAACATGGAACATAGAATAATAGAATTGGAAGGAACCTAAGAGATCTTCTAGCTAGTCCAACTCCCTGCTTGAGCAGGAGATCTTATATAATTTCAGACGAATGGTTGCAACTAAATTTCATTTTTGATGTGTTGTGCCCACAGTAAAAAAATGACAATAAAGATTCTCTTCTCTTCTCTTCTCTTCTCTTCTCTTCTCTTCTCTTCTCTTCTCTTCTCTTCTCTTCTCACCTCACCTCACCTCACCTCATCTCATCTTATCTTATCTTATCTTTTTTTTGAAAGCCCCTAGTGAAGCACCCACAACTTCTGAAGGCAAGCTATTTCATTGGTTGATTGCTCTCATCATTAGGAAATTTCTCCTTAGTTCTAGGATGCTTCTCTCCTTGGTCTGTCAATTGTTTCTTGACTTGCCTTTTGGTGCTTTGGAAAATAGATTAATTTGCTCATCAAGAGCCCCTCAAATATTGGAACAGTGCTATTTTATTGTGAGTTGTGAGTGCTATTTTATTGTAAATAATAATAATAATAATAATAATAATAATAATAATAATAATAATAATAATAATAATAATAAAGTTGGAAGGGACCTGGGAGGTCATCTGATCCAACCCCCTGCTCAGGCAGGAAACCCTATACCATTTCAGACAAATGGCCATCCAATCATTTCTTAAAAACTTCCAGTGTTGGAGCATTCACCACCTCTGGAGGCAGGTTGTTCCACTGGTTAATTATTCTAACTGTCAGGAAGTTTCTCCTTAGTTCTAGGTTGCTCCTCTCCTTGATTAGTTTCTATCCGTTGCTTCTTGTCCTGTCTTCAGGTGCCTTGGAAAATAGCTTTACTCTCTCTTCTTTGTGGCAGCCCCTGAGATATTGGAACACTGCTATCATGTCCCCCCTCATCCTTCTCTTCATTAAACTAGACATACCCAATTCCAGCAGCCGTTCCTTATATGCTTTAGCTTCCAGTCCCCTAATCATCTTTGTTGCTCTTCTCTCTACTCTTTCTAGAGTCTCAACATCTTTTTTACATTGTGGTAACCAAAACTGGATGCAGTATTCCAAGTGTGGCCTTACCAAGGCATTGTAAAGTGGTATTAATACTTCACGTGATCTTGATTCTATCCCCCTGTTAATGCAGCCTAGCACTGTGTTGGCCTTTTTGGCAGATGCAGCACACTGCTGGCTCATATTTAAGTGATTATCCACTAGGACTCCGAGATCCCTCTCACAGTTACTACTATTGAGCAAGGTACCCCCTATACTATTCATGTGCATTTGGTTTTTCTTGCCTAAATGTAGAACCTTGGGGAGATGTTTGGTAAAATTGATTAAAATAAAAAATGGGCATGCTTGAATTTGCTTTTTAAAACTTGACAGCACTTTTCTAGATAAAAAGTGAGAGATCATAGAAAAAAATTAGCTTTGTAGAGTTGGGGCAATTTTTGCACTGTCAGTTTGAAACAATCTCAAAATTTCCAATGGAAAGAGTACATAAAAGAGGCATGGATTAATCTCCTAGTCTTCTTTAGTTGACTACTGTAGGTTCTGCCAGTAGGATGGAAGGTGGCTATCTCAGCTTTCTTCTCCCTCAGATCGTCTGCTTTTTGCACCCTGGTGCCCCCACTTTTCTGTCTAAATGTAGCTGCTTGGTGATTTCTGCTGCCATTTCCTGTCAGTCACATGGATCTTTTACCTGATGTTTCCCCACATAACCCTGGAATGTGAGACAGGCTATGCTATTATTGAAGAATAAAGCAAAAATAAAAAAAAAATAGAGAAAAATAAAGTGGATAAAAACAAAACAAATTCTGTAGTGTAAGGCATGTGACAAGGCAGTCAGCACCCTTTCTCTTTTAGAAAGACATTATTTTCAAAATGATTTCTTTATTTTGTTAGATTTTTATCCTACTTACTCTATAAGTAACTCAAAGTGGAGAACGTATCTAACATTCCCTCCTCCTCTTATTTTTCCCACAACAACAATCCTGTGAGGTGAGTTGGGCTGAGAGACAGTGACTGACCTAAAGTCACCAGCCATTTTTTTCGAAAGCCTAAATGTAAAAATAATTTATCTTGTTGTAAGAATTGCATGTTTCTGTAGGAGGAAACAAACTTGTAACAAACTGCAAAATCACAGATAACATTTCAGAATAATCTCCTATAGAATATAAGACAAGAGAAGCTTGGGGCAAATTACAGTCTGGGATGGACCCGTTTAGTAGGAAAAGAGTAGCAACACTTAGCAAGTTGCATCAAACCTGAAGTCAAGAGGTTTGTTATTTATTTGCACAAGGTGAGCATTCTTTTTATTTGAAAACTTGTTGAAATTAAAATAAATCGGCTTTCTTTTTATTGTAATGTCCTTGACAATCCTTGTTGTTTTATACTTCTGAGCAAGTTAGACATAAGGTCACATCTTCTCCTCACTTGCCAGTATGTTTGCTGTCCAAATAGCAGGGTGTTTTGAAACATGCTAATAACTAACCCATTCTTTCCTATCCTGGCACTCTCTAACTCATGTGCATCTGTTTATTCTTTCTTGGAATTGTCATCTGACACATCTGGAAAACACTAGGCTGGACCAGGCTCACCCTTTACTTAATTGAACAAATAGAAATTGTGAAGTATTATAGGTGGGGCTCACATATTCTGCTAAGTATGGTGTGTGGACTAATCTGCAGTTCACTGGATTCACACGTAGTCCTAATACATAACATAGAAATTGATAACTTTTTTGCAGCCAAAAGTAATACAGGTTCTCCCTATTTAACAACTATCCTGTTTAACAACTTTATGTGTATTTAACAACTGTTTGTGATGGTGCTGAAAAAGTCACAATTGTTGCAGCATCCCTACAGCCATGTGACTGAACTTTGAATACTTCACAACTGGCAGGCATTTCCCACCACTGCAGCATCTTGCAGTCATATGATTGCCATTTGCGACCTTTGCAGCTTCTCACAAGCAGAATCAATGAAGAAGCTGGCCGTAAAATTGCCAGTTATGATCCTGTGATGTTTCGCTTAATGACCATGTCATGAAGAAATGGACTTGCTGGTCCCAAATGTGGCAGTTAAGTGAGGACTACCTGTACTTTCCCCCCCCCTGAAAACTGAAGACCACAATATAGATCAAATCATACTGTACACAGTATGTGGAAGGGAGTTAGTGTTTTGAAGGAATTTGTGGGGAAGAGAGAGAGAGAGAGAGAGAGAGAGAGAGAGAGAGAGAGAGAGAGAGAGATTCCTCCTGTAATTTAATCAGTGAAATTGCCATGCTTTACCATGCAAAGCTTCAGAACTCCAGATGTATACAAGTCACTTCCTATATGTATATGAAATTATCAGACAACCGTTTAAGATGCATTTAAACATAAACTGTAACACAAACCACAAGGAATATGGAATGTATTGTGATGGAAAAACAAGGAAATGAAGCTAGAAATTCTCTCCACCTTCCCCCCCCCCCCCCGCGCTCTGGCTCTCCCATTTGCATAGATAAAATAAGATTAGCTTGAGGCTGCTGCAAGATCCAAGAACAGTGAAGTTTCTGCTGTCCCTAAAGCCCCTTGAATGCTATCACAGCAAAAACCAAGAGGAAGCCCTAATCTCTTCATGTATAGATTTGTGTGGGGCGGAAGGCAGCCTCCATGAAGAAATTTTGCTAACAAGTTGAGAAACAGCGGGCAATCCACATTAATCCGGCGCACAAGTTGCCTGCTGATCTCCACGTTCCTTAACAATTGGAATCCCTCAGCTCGCCTGTCGTGAGGATGAGGCTTTGGTTATACAATAGCAAAATAACTTTTATTTTCTTTGTTTAACACAAATCTTCCCCAAATCTTATTCATGAACCAGATCTCTTAGATTTCCCATCTCTCAATCCTAAATAATTTCTTCTATTGGTCGGGGGTCCCTATTTCTTGGAAAGAATAAAAAGTTGCAATCAGCGTGCTTTCTTTCTTTTGGCAAATTTCCACGACATCTTTATCCATAAAGTTCTCTCTCTCTCTCTCCCTCTCTCTCTCTCTCTCTCTCTCTCTCTCTCTCTCTCTCTCTATATATATATATATATATATATATATATATATATATATATATATAATTTATGACTAAAGAGAAAGTAAAAATGAATGAAAAATTGGGGCATGTTTAAAAGTCTCTGCATGTATTTTTTTTAAGCCTTTGTCCCTGACAGTACATTTCCCCACTTTTTGTATTGGAATTAAGATTGAAAAGTGAGGATTTTTACCTAAACAAAACAAGTAGGTATATTTAGCCTGATTCCATATGCTTTAAAGCAGAGGTCCCCAACCTTTTGGGCACCAGGGACCGGTTCCGTGGAGAGAGGTTTTTCCATGGACCGGAGGGTGCGTGGTTTTCTGTGCTGCCTGCATTTTGTGGATGGGGCTTTGCTTGTTTGTGTGGCCCAGTAGCTGGCATGCCACGGCCCAGGACTGGTCCATGGACCCGGGGTTGGGGACTCCTGCTTTAAAACACCTCAGCTTACCATTCACCTAAAGAGAAATAGCATTTTTGAAACCAAGAAAGACTCTTCATTTCTTTAGAATAGTTTTTACTGAAACTAAGGGTTAACAAATATGCTTTGAGAAGTAGCATTCATAATGCCAAATACAAGGGCATGTGCTTGATACAGTGTTTCAGCAGGCCAGATGGTAACTCCCCTGGCACTTTATTTGTATAATGTTTCATGCCACTCACCATTAAAACCTTCAAAATTATGGAGCATGAAACTTAGTGTGGAACATGTTCCTTTCTTTGGGTGATAAATTAGACTTGAAGTGGCAGGTTGGGGGAGACAGGTGCATTCCCATCTCCAACATGGGAAAGGACAGGCTGAAGTGAATAGTGCCAAGTTAGATGCACTGTTTGTTCGCCAATGTTCTCCATCAACTCCTATGAGGGTTCCTACCTCCAGATAGACATGAAGGGAAGCAGGAAAGCATCACCTCTGAAGGAATCGGGTTATGATCTGAGGATCCTTCTGGATTCATGGTTTCTGATATAATAGATAAAAGCCTATATAAAAGGGCCTTTGGTTGGTATAAAATTTATATCCTTACCTGGTTCCATCATTGAAATATATACTGTGGGCCCTGCAACTGTTACCTTGTGTTTATAGTTTTTACAGTTTTGGCCAATAAACTATACCTATAGGACTACCTGCTCTATCCTGAATCACTCCAACCTATTAGATCATATATGAAAAAAAATACTTCTAGTGGCCATCATTCATCAATCAATGAAATCTCTGAGGAAGATATTAAAAAATGGAGCTGATCCAAAGAAATTTTAACCCGTTCGGGGCTATGTTCTGTTTTATTTATTTATTTTTCTTATTTCATTGTTATAAAGTTGCTTTGAGTCCTGATGTCAAGCTTGTGTTCATTAGATCTTTTGTGCAAAATCTGGTCTATTTGTCTTATGTTAAATCCAGAGGAGCATTGCTGGCAGATGATAGTAGGTATCACTTTTGGAGGAAGAACATTTGAAGGCACCTCTAACTTTGTGTACATGGTTGTTGGGGCCTGTGATCATACTGTTGCTATAGATGAAGGGGCAAAGTAGATATCTGGGCTTCTTGCAATGTGGTTCCCAACCTGGCATCATTCGCCTGTTGCTCCTTGTTGCTTATGAGGATCAGTTTCAAGTATGGGCCAGCCAGCCATTGCCTAAGAAAGTTTCAGTATTGTCTGTAGCTTAATCATGCATTTGAATGCCTTGAGTTGTGATAGGTGATAATCAGTGATGTTTTGCTGTTGCTGTTTCTGTGATCTGTCTTTTAATATGTCCTTCCTCGGAATTATCTGGCTTGACTGTTTTTACTATTGGATTTGATGGTGGGTGATCAAACCCTGGTTTAATTTCATCATTGATCATCTTGGTTAAGTGAGTCAGAACAAATGTTGTAGTAGAAAGCCTGAATATAGATGGTGGATTAGGTGATTTGTACTGAATGGAAGCTGGAAGCAAGTAGGAAGCTGGATGGCAATCTGTAAGTTTCTTGTATATTGTGATGTTTATGTCCCATGTATCACTTTATGATGACATTAAGGATTTAAGGCTACATAATTTCATTTGGTACTGGATTGGATTAGAGCAACACTATCTTGAAGGTACTGTATCTATGCAAATATCTAGTTTTGCTTGCATGATTGTTTTAAAATGATTCAACTGAATTCTATTTGTATTCTAATTAGGTGGATAATTGTTTCACAGCTACAACCAACAGCTGCAAGATATGTTTACCCATGCTTTGATGAACCTGCAATGAAAGCTACCTTTAATATCAGCATTGTTCACCATCCCAGCTATGTGGCACTTTCCAATATGCCAGCTTTAGGTAATTAATATAAATAAAGTCTTATTTGAGCACAGATCCTGCTAGTTTCATGAACATACAATTTTGTAACTTTCTTAGTAGCAATAGGGAAGCAACAGTATTCTTCTGTAATGTTTTTTCCATTTCAGGTTTGGACTATAGTTACGGAAAATCCTGATCATCTCCCATCCAATTACTAATCAAGTCCATTCTTGTTTAGCTTCCAAAGCCAAACAAGATGGCAATATTATGTTACGCAGGTTGAAGCAACAACAGTATCATAGTTAAACAGTAAGATGCTTTGGATATGTAAAATCTGAATTCTAGCACATTGAAAGTCGAACTATTTGCTCAGCTCCTATATTCCCCCCCTTTTATTTTCATGTGCTTTGCTTTCCTAGTGTTTAACAGCAATCACATCTGGAACAAATTCTATCTCAATGAATTCTGCTATGAATACTAAAGAAAGTAGCACTAGAATGGAAAATTAAATATCCTTCCAACTTGACGTTGCTTATAACAAGTGTTTCCTGCTACTGTACTGGAAAAATACATTTATAAGTACAATAATATTTATTCTCAGAATAATTTTGGTAGAAAATAGAAGCTAGATTTACACAGTATCTACAACACAGGAAGCCTTTTCATATATGATTCTGATTCACTAGCTTCTCTTGCAGATGCTTCAAGTTGGCTGTGTATTTGTTTTTTCCACTAAGAAGATGAAGGTTGCTGTCATGAGAGATGGATATAGGGGAGTCTGCTTTCATGTTATCCCCATGTCAGCCATGAGGTTGGCCATGGTGAGAGAGAGTGATTGATCCAGAATCACCTAGTGAGGTTCCATGGCTGATGGTGGATTGGAATGTCACTCCCTATGTAACCTTTATACCAGGGGTCCCCAAACCCCAGTCTGTGGACCAGTATCGGGCTGCGGTATGCCAGCAACTGGGCCACACAAACAAGCAAAGCCCCATCTGTGGGATGCAGGCAGCACACAAAATCACACCCCCTCAGTCTGCGGTTCTTTCCACAGAACCGGTGCCTGGTGTTCAAAAGGTTGGGGACCTCTGCTTTATACCACAGTGGCTGTCTTGAGAGATGTGTTTATGAAGGAGGTTAGGAATTGCACTGCAGAGTTTGGGCAGACTATTAATTATCCTAAGGTGTGGATTTCAATTTTAAATCTGAAAAAAAAGAATATTGGTATATTATTGTAGAAGCAAATATATTGTGCCTATCTTGCCCATCAGTATGTAGTAGGATAGAAGCAGGCAACTTTTTTTTTGTAATTGAACTTACTGGGCTTTTGAAATTTTAAGGTATTTCAGGCTTAGCCCATTACTTTTGACTGACTTTATTTTTAAAAGATGATGTCCCCCCCCCCTTCCATAACTGCTGAAAATCTTGTTGCTGAACTTGATAACCATAGTTTTGGGATTGTTGGGAGTGGAGACAAAATTAGTGCTGGGACATGGGCTATGGATTCCTCAATTCCGCAATGCAATATGAAGTATATGGAAAATAATAAACTACACACTTCATACTTATTTATGAAGTATTTTATATATGTAGTTAACATAAGAGCCACTTTGATGTGGAGATTAAGGCATCAGATTAGAAACTGAAAGATGAATTCTAGAGAAAAAACCAGCTGGGGGACTTTGGGGCGAGTCACTTTTTCTCAACCCTGGGAAGAAGGCAATGGTAAACCATTTCTGAAAAATCTTGCAAAGTAATTGGGATTCATCCAGGCAGTCACGAGGAGCCAAAAAATGACTTGAAGGTACCAAAAAAAAAAAGCTAATATATATTTGGATTGTTTCTTTATTTTTAAATAGATGCATCTGAGTATAAAGATGTGAACGACACTGCACTGAGTGCTTTGATGAATGAAACTACACCAATTAACTGGACTATCACAACATTTGAAACAACACTGAAAATGTCTACGTATATCACTGCTTTTGTGGTCTGTAAATTTGATTATGTCACCACAACTGAAAGAGGCAATCAGGTAAATAAATGTCTTGAGGTTACATATCAGTATGTATTTGCATTTGTGATTAGGTTTTGTGTTACATCAGACATTCCTAAATTTAATTTATTCAGTAACATATAAATGGCATAAAATCAGTGAGAAGCACAATGCAATTCTCGAGATTTTCTCTTCATACAAAATATTATAATAAATGAAGAGGCCGTTAATATGTTGTAAAGCAAAGCACCAGTCTCTAAAACGGGTTGGCAACTTCATGACCTGTGGACTTCAACTCCCAGAATTCTTGAGCCAGTCAGAAGTCCACAGATTGTAAAATTGCCATACTTGCCCATCCCTGCTCTAAGTTCATCTTTATTTGCAGCAATTACTTTGATACCTACAAAAATCTCACTTGCATGATAGAATTCTGAATAGTTTACCTGTGGTAAACATGTCTGCATGTTTGCTTTGGGCCCAGCTTTGCCTCAGATTAAGACCAGATGATGCCTTAAGCATGGCTCACCAATGTTGCCCCACTCTCAAACCATGAGATGGGGAAAAAAATATTATCAGACAATACTTTCAAAACAAAATGCTTAAACCATTTTTACTCCTTGTGTGAAAGATTTTTTTTTTAACAATGCAGATTAATGTTGAATACAGCAAATAAGGACAATTACTTTTTTTTATACTAAATTTGAGGGTGGCAATGAAAGAGTTAAGAGTATCATAGCCAGGAGAAAAACTGTAATACCTTCCATTTCCTTGGTGCCCTGAGCAAGTGCTTGTTTTTCTTAATGATTAATCCAGGACTGTCTTGCCAGTTTAAATATGGTTGGAAGCAAACTTGATTTTTACCCATGCTTAAACTGAAATTATACTTTGTGTTAAACTAACATTTAGTTTGATTCAACTGCCCTATCCCCAAGATCATGTTTTTACAGATTTCTAAATATCATAAGGGTGAAATCACACAAATATTTGGGGAGGATATTGTTCTGGAGAGCTGGCACCTTAAGGGAGAGAAAAAAATATCCTGGATCCTGTAAGACGGGGTCCCCAACCCCTGGTCCATGGACCAGCACTGGTCCATAGCATGCCACAAACCGGTCCGCACAAACAAGCGATGCAGGATGCAGGTAGGACGCAAAACAACGCCCCCTCTGATCCACGGAAAAACCTTTCTCTACAGCACTGGTCCTTGTGCTCAAAATGTTGGGGGCCTTTGCTGTAAGATATGACACAGTTTAATGAGTGGGACTTGCAGTTTACCTACCTTACTTGATTGTACCAGATGGGAAAAACAGTTGGAGTAAACAGTCCCCACACCAGGGGTGTCAAACTCGCAACATCATGTGACATGTTGCGACGTATCGTGACTTTTTTCCATTGCCGGCAATGGGGTGGGCGCGGTTTTGTTATGATGCATCTGGCCTGTGGCCGGCACTTTGACACCCCTGCCCTATAGCATGACGTATTGCTATTGTATCTCAACCCTTTGTAAAAAGTCTTTATGGTTCCGAGTGTTGATTGAACCTACCTTCTTATTGTTCATTCAGTAAATAAAGTTACATGTCTTAGTCACAATTCATTTGGGCTATCATAATTTGGTATACTTGAGATTATGCTTGAAGAATCTGTTAGAAGCTGCAATTGGTCCAAATGGAACAGCTTGAGTAGTTAATTAGAGATGCCTCTTGATTTCACTGAATGAAACCATCACCACAGTGATTGTCATTTAGTTTCCAGAGCAATTTAAGCAGCATCAAAGCTTATCTTAAAAGCCCTACATTGTTTCAGACCTATACATCTGCATGGCTGCTGTCTCCTAGGGGTTTCTTTCTATTCAATAAAATCTATTGGAAAGAGCACTTTTTTGAACCCCATCAATGTGAGGTTGCCGTCACCAAGGACCATGAGGTCATATCTTTTCTGTTGCTATCCTCTTCTTCAGTATAATGAGAATGAGGCCTCAAATTAATTGGCATTCATGAAAGCCACTAAGGCCTGATTGTTCCAGAAAGCTTTGGGGTTTGATAGGGAAGTAAGTCTTCTCCCTGTAGAAGGCAGTTATAGTTGTTACTGATTTGGCGATATTTTTTTAATTTCCTTGTTATTCTTTTTCTATTATTTGTGAGCCACTCAGAACCTTTTTGCAATTGAGCAGCATAAAATTACAGTAGACATAACCAGTCACGTGTTGTTCTAAGCTAAAATGTGAGTATCCTAATTTTAAATTAAAAACTATATGAACTCAGCTCTTGTGGTCTGCAAACCTTAATGTCACTTACTACGTTACATGAAACCAATCAACCGTTGCTTTTATTTATTCATATATTTATATATTTATCAAATTTGCATGCTTTCTGACTCCCTACAACTCTGGTTGTCTCACAATAGTTAAGGAAACTGTAATGCTAACCAAATAATAATAGGTAGATAAAAATGCCAAATCTATCTAAACATCTGGCTGGCTGTATGACAAAAGTAAAAGGTATTAGAAGATATGTTTACACTATAAGACAGACAGATACACTAAACCAAGGGTAGGCAACCTTGGCTCTTTTATGACTCGTGGACTTTAACTTCCAGAATTCCTGAGCCAGCCATTCTGGGAGTTGAAGTCCACGAGTCATAAAAGAGCCAAGGTTGCCTACCCCTGCACTAAAGGAAAAGATGAGGTAATTATGGGCTTGATTCTTACTATCTGAAATAATACTTCTTTCTAATAGATACGTGTTTGGGCTCGGAAGGATGCTATTCAAAAAGGATATGCTAATTATGCTTTAAATATCACAGGGCCAATATTTTCATTTCTGGAAGACTTACTAAACATCAGTTATCCTCTTTCAAAAACAGGTATGCTAGCTGGTTAACTTTTAAAAATGTTTAAAAGACTATTGAGATTAGCAGCATAGTAGCTTCAAAAATGCTGTTGTATCTTATTTCTGGCCTTAATTTAGTAATCTGTAATGTAACTGTTATAAAACCGCGTTTCTATTGTTCAGAAAGTCATTGGTTCTCTTTGACAGTTAACATTTTGATGCATATCATATTTTATTATATTGTAGTTAGAATATTTATACTTTGCTTTTCTGTTTAAAAAATGGCTAGAATGACTTACAATAGATCACACAAAGGTTTTTCAAACAGTCACAATTACCTGTGGCAGGGGTCCCCAACTCCTGGTCTATGGTGGGCTAACGCACACATGTGAACCTGCATTGGTGAAAGTGATGCATGCACAAAACCATCCTCTCTCTCCCCCTTCCGTCTCTGCTGTCTGCCAAGCTGGAAAGGTTGGAAACTGCTGGCCTATGGGATCATCACCAAATTTGAGGGAGTTTGCATATTTCTGGGTTAACAGAAGGCAAAAAAGATGGCCAGATGGGGTAGCAACTACAGTTCTGCTCATCAAAAAGGCTCTGCTGAAAGATGGGGGTGAAATACCAAGCCTTCCTGTAATAATCTCCATTTTTATGGAGTACTGTACTCTTATTTATTTATTTAGGAGACTTATATACCGCTTTAAGTGCAAGCACTCTCTAAGCGGTGTACACCAGTAAGCAATGTATATATATATTTACATTGCCCCCAACAATCTGGGTCCTCATTTTAACTACCCCGGAAGGATGGAAGGCTGAGTCAACCTTGAGCCGGTGACATTTGAACCGCTGACCTGCTGAACACAGTCAGCTAAAGTGGCCTGCAGTACTGCACTCTAACTGCTGCACCACCTCAGCTCTTATCCAGGAGTTCCTAATCTTGGCAATTTTAAGATGTGTGACTTTAACTCCCAGAATTTCCCAGCCAGCCATTATGCAGCTCCCATCTTGCTACAGCCACTGTTACATTTCAATGCATTTTAGCTCCAGCTGACTGAATATGAATACCTTTCTTAAGCTTTATTTGGGGATTTTTAAAATACTGCTCTGGATATAGGTGCTTATTATTAAAGGAATATTTTGTTTTGTTTTTGTTTGATGCTATAAGCTGCCCAGAATCTTTTGGGGTTGGGTTATAAGTACTATAAAATAAATAAGAAAACAAAAAAACAAATAAATGCCGAGTTTCTGGGATTCATGTTCTCAATGTCTTTAGGGGACTAAAGACTACAGAAACCCTGTGATAATATCAAATTATGACACGTAGCTTCTTGTAGATGCTATATATTGTTTACAATGTCAGCCCTTTGAGATAGGCTAGGACGGTCAAGAAAAATACACAACAGGATTCCAGGAATCTAGTAAGGTAGAATAATAGAAGTTTGAAAGCCTGCCCAAGTTTGTCCCATCTTATACAAAATAAAATCAAGGCATTATTTTTAGTGTCTTTCTCATGCTTTCCTGTTTTTCAGGGCTGTAATTTTTTTAAAAGTTGCCTCTTAATGGCTTGCTAATTAGCACTTATTGTAGCAAAAGCAATTAGACTTATATACCTCTCCATAGTGCTTTACAGCACAGTCTGAGCGGTTTACAAATGTCAGCATATTGCCCCCAACAATCTGAGTCCTCATTTTATCAGCCTTGGAAGGATGGAAGGCTGAGTCAACCTTGAGCCGGTCAGGATCGAACTTCTGGCAATGGGCAGAGTTAGCTTTCAATACTGCAATACTGCATTCTAGCCACTATGCTACTACAGCTGTTCTCCTTTCCTATCCATAAAGTCAGTTCCGTATTCCTTCCCATAGATTTACTGCCTGGATTTGTACAGAAAGAAGATTCTGAATTTGGTATTCCCTGTGTTCATTCAACAGGGGTCATTTTAGATTGTTATGAATGAATAATGCTCTGTTATCAGATGTAGAGTATATACTAGGGATAGGCAACCTTGGCTCTTTTATGACTCAGGAATTCTGGGAATTGAAGTCCATGAGTCACAAAGGAGCCAGGGTTGCCTACCCTTGGTATATACTTTGTGTGTATATAAGATTCAATCCTAGACTGAATCTTTGGCATCCCTGAGAAGATCTGGGGAAGTTTTGGGTTGAAATGCTTCTGAGAGGATCAGTAACTTCAGGCTCTTATGTGAATACATGTAAGACAGGGGTTTCCAACTGGGGGTGCTTGCACCCCCTGGGGGTGCGAGACGATATTCCAGAGAGTGCGAAAACTTGGGTTTTCAAAAGTATAGTGTATATGCATAATTTATTGCTGTTATTTCGACTTTTGTAAGGGGTGCGAGAATATATCAGGAGTGTTCTAGGGGTGCAGGGTATAAAAAAGGTTGGGAACCACTGTTGTAAGACATTCTTCTAATTTACTGTGTAAATCTTAATGTGACTTTGATTTTGACTAAGAACTATGTGCAGACCTAGCATTGTGGTTTATAAATCTTGCTTTGTGGTTTATCACTATGTTTGATGAGCCCCCTAGACCAGTGGTTCTCAACCTGTGGGTCGGGACCCCATTTGGGGTCGAACGACCATTTCACGGGGGTCGCCAAACGAGGCTGTCCGCCATTTTTCCCCCCTTTTCTTTGGCCAGGCCCCTGGCACCCGGTGATGTATAAGTGGTTGGGGGTCACCACAACATGGGGAACTGTATTATGGGGTCGCGGCATGAGAAAGGTTGAGAACCACTGCCCTAGATATTGTTGAACATACTCACTTGGCATAATATGTGAATCTTGCTAGAGATAATAAAATAAACATATTTGAAATAGAAATTGGCTAAATTACATGAAAGTAGCATTTGTAGATCTAAATGAATGATACTATTAATCCTGAGTATCTTGGGAAATATGTGGTATGTAAAAAGGGTTTACAGTATGTAATCATGTTAAGAATTAAATTGTTAAAATGACGCTTTTTCTATTCAAATTCCATTAGATTTTGTTGCAGTACCTCTTATGGATCAGGGTGCAATGGAAAACTGGGGACTAATGATTTTCCATGAAACATCCTTATTGAGTAATCCAGAAGAAAACTATATATCATATAAAATGCATATTTGCCAAGTTGTTGCTCATGAGATAGCACACCAGGTATGCAGTAAAATATCCTGTACAATATTTTCATTGATCGCTGCAATCAAAATGTTACTTCCTAATTGCAGGTAATTTTCTATTTGCAACTATTTGTTTAGGTCAGGGATCCCCAACCCCCGGTCCGTGGACCGGCACGAGTTCGCAACATGTCAACAAGCAGGCTGCACAAACAAACAAAGCTCCATCCTCGGGATGCAGGCAGTATTCCAAACCACACCTCCTCTGGTTTGCAGAAAAACCTTTCTCCATGGCACCGGTCCCTGGTGCCCAAAAGGTTGGGGACCTCTGGTTTAGGTGGCTGTTTGAAGTTACAACAACACTGAAAAAGTAACTTATGGCAGCTTTTCACATTTATCATTGTTGCAGCATCTCCATGCTCACATGATCAAAACTTCGGTGCTTGCCAACTGGCATTTATTTATGACAGTTACATAGATCCCCATATGTAACCTTCCCAGAGGGCTTCTGGCAAGCAAAGTCAATGGGGGAAGCTTTACAATCACCTGATTCACTTAACTGTTAAGTGATTCACTTAACAACTATGGGGGAAAAATTGTAAAATGAAGCGCAACTCACTTAACAGCTGTGTTCCTTAGCAATGGAAATTTTGGGCTCAACACATCTGGAGAGTAACAGATTGGGGAATGCTGATCAAGCAATATAAACTAGTGCTTCTCAGCCTCTTTTTCTGATATGTGGGTTCTAATTCCCAGATTTTCTAGTATGCTGGGGAATCCTGGGAGTTGAAGTCCACACATCTTAAAGTTGCTGACATTGAGAAATACTGCCTTAAACATTAATCAGGAAAAACATTATGCCTGAAGGAGAGAAGGATTCTACAAGAATGAGAAAAGCAGCTTCAAAGCTAGCTTTAAAAATATTTGCTTGTATTAACAGTCTCATAATAAATTGAATTATGTATTGTAACATACAACTAAGATTCAAAGTATATTAAATAAGAGGCCAAAACAGAAAGAAATATAATATTAACATTCAAAGCAATAATATAAAACTAAAACAACAGCAATCAAAAGCCTGGTTGTCAGTAAATAGTTGAAAAATACCTCCAAAGCAGGGGTCCCCAACCCCTGGTCAGTGGACTGACACGGGTCCAGGGCATGCCAGAAACTGGGCTGTGCAAACAAGTGAAGTCCCATCCATGGGATGCAGGCAGCACATGAAACCACGCCCCCTCCGGTCTGCGGAAAAACCTCTCTCCATGGAACCGGTCCCTGGTGCCCAAAAGGTTGGGGGTGACTGCTCTAAATAATTAATAAAACTATTAAAATGTATTGTCTTGATACAGATACACCAAATAAAATAGTCTGGTATTTTCAGTGAAATAATTTTGATATTCTTTATTGTTCCCTGGAAAAGGATCATTGATATGTGGTAGATTACAATAAACAACACTTTGTTTTCTATGAAGCACTTAGATACATTGTATAGCATGCAGGCAACAATTGTTGGAAAAATGGAAGGATGTTGATCATTAAGAGAGGGAGCCTTTGTTTCTCTTATGACTTCTTCATTCCAAACTTATTAAGAAGCTATAGCAGGCATGTCAAACTCATGATGTCATGTGACGTCATGCAATGTATTGGGCCGGTTTCGCCATTGCCGGCACTGGGGTGGGCGCGGTTTCCTTATGATGCGTCTGGCCCGTGGGCCGGCAGTTTGACACCCCTGAGCTATAGCAAGCACATGGTACAAATATGAATCTGATTTTTAAAAAGCTATATAATTGAAGAATGAATGAAATATGAAATAGATCAGGACTGTATTTGTAGGAACAAAGAAATGAAACATTACCATATGGAAATTTAGTCTTAAGTCAGTCTTTCTTCAAGACCCTAAGAAACCATTAATATATAAATTCTAATCACTATTATTATTATTCATAATACAATATGATAAAAAAATCAAAACCAAAATGATTTCTACTTCTTTCAGATTAAGTAAAGCAGATCCTGTATAAAATTAGATACAGGATTAATTCCTTGGGTGCTGTTAACCTCCCTGTGTTTTTTTATATAAAATGTACCAGAAGTAGCATTTGAAGAAATGTATGTAACAATATAGGGATAGCAACCTGAATGGTGTGGTGGCCTAGTGGTGAATACACTTGGAAGGTTGTGAGTTCAATCCTAGGTAGCGGCAACTGTTTGTCTCCTAGGGCGCACAGAAAAAAAATCTGCTGCTAACTGTGTGTGGTGTCAGGAAGGGCATCCAGCAAGTAAATGCTCAGCTCCACCCAGTCGCCCAAGTTGCTCTACTCTGAATTAAGGGATTACAGGGTCTTAAAAAGGGAGACTTGAAATAGCAGCTTGGGGAGGAGGCAGAAGCAATTTTTGTCCTGACTGTAATTTAACTTGTCAACCATGGTCTAGAAACTGCCAGAACTGATAATTACATAACAGAAAATGAGCACATTCATTGATACTAGTAGTTTTGCATTTATTGGATCCTTTGAAACAGTTGAATTGTATTATGTAATAAAAACCTAGATTTCTTGTTCTTTCACTCCCTATTTTAATCCTTATGGCATCTTTAATGTATTTTCTAAAACTCCTATCAATCTATAGACATTGTACCACTCCTTTGTGACAAGTTGTGCCCATTAAATAAAATCGTGAACTGCTCTCTTGCCAGATGAATGAGAACAGCAGTTGAAAGAATGCATTTAAAGACTCTTCTCCCCCTCCTTCCTATTTTAAGTGGTTTGGAAACCTAGTTACCATGGATTGGTGGAACGACATATGGCTTAATGAGGGATTTGCAACTTACTTTGAACATCTAGGTCTAGACTACATTGAACATATCATGCCACTGGTAGGTGTAAATTAAACCAACCTTTCCTGTGTGTCTTTCATTTAAACTCTGCCTTTACTTTGAAGTGCTTTTAATGAAAACTATGTAATAGAGGCTCTAAGCTTGGAGAGATCTCTGTATCCAGACTATTTTATCTACTGTTATATGAAATGGTGAATCCCTCCTCATGAGAGGTTTTCAAACAGCAGCTGAACGGTCAATATTGTAGTTGAATCTGTATTGATCAGGGAATTGGATTAACTTCTTTCCAAATTTGTAATTCTATAAGTATGAGCTTTGTCACACTTTCTCCCTGTTTCTGTCATTGATGAGTTGCTAGTGTTATGTGAGTCCTTATCTGCAGCCTGGTACAATGCAGACGTAAGTTTATTATGCCTAACATAGTTTTGTAAACTTTATCAATTTGCATGTGAATTTTTGCACCAAGTACCGTGACTGGTTGCTTATCAAATAATTTATAGTCCTCCTCCTCCTCCTCCTCCTCCTCCTCCTCCTCCTCCTCCTCCTCCTCCTCCTCCTCCTCCTCCTCATCTTAAATCACACATATTCTGTCTGTACACACTGCTATTTATTAAGTGCTGTAAACCAGATTGGAACTAATTTATGCTTCTTGTTTATTAGAGATCACCATGAAGGCTTTACTAGATGGTACAATAGGTTCAGTGAATAAGCTGATGGATTGAGATGGATAGAATTAACATTTATGCTTCCTTTCTGTATAGATTTTCAGTTTAAGCAAGGTTTTTTTTGAGTTTAATAGGAACAAGATTAATGATGTTAGAAAGGAGAGCAGGGAGAGCTAAATATGTTTATGAATGTTAACATAGAATTCTAAATTTGGGTTTGCATTAGTAAAATTAACATTTTATGGTTATTTGCAGGATAAACTCTTTACCAAGCAGCTTGTACTACCTATGTTGGCTAGCGAAAATCATGAATTAAATCAGTCTGTATCCGATACAGAAACCAGTCAAAGAGATTCTTTATTTGAACTGTTCAGTACAGTAACGTACCATAAGGTAAATCATACATTATTATAAATTTCATATATATGATTCATAAATTGATGTAATGGAAGAATATTTTTACAGTGCATGAGAAAAGTAAATTATTATCTCTGTGTTATAAGGTCTTGTAATCTGTATCAAGTGAAACAATTTTGATTATAGTAACTACCATTTTCATTCAGCGTATGTATTTAAATTATTTTGAATATAATGTAAGTAAACATCTTCCTAAGTTTATTAATGTTTTCTCTCTATGCGTCTATTTTAGGGGGCTTCTATCATTCGGATGCTTTCCAAATTTATGACTGAAGGATTGTTTATCAAAGCATTGAATGTAAGTTTAGAAAATATCTTTACATTACATTATATTGAAAATTTTACAAATTAACCGATAATCATGTTCTTGTTTTACTGCAGTCATATCTGAGTGCATTTTCCTTTTCTAATGCCGTCCAAGATGATCTGTGGAATCACATTCAAAAGGTGATTAAATTTACAATGCATTTGCTAAACTTTTGATTTTAATAAATTGTGAATTGTTGGCTGTAAGTAAAAGGGATTTAAACTTCAGTCATGACCATTGGGTATGGCTGCTTTATTCTCTGAAGTCAGCATCACCAACTGTTGCTGACAGTTCTCCTTCTTGAATCTCTTGGTTTTTAGATCTGGCCTGTGTCTGGACAACTGTTGTTCATGGTCTTTTTAATGTGACAATTGTATAGCTAAGTTAAAATAAGTTTGTCAGTATTTGTCCACACGTTTATTTCTCTTTGGCATAATCCCCAGCTTCTGCAGGTAGCCATGTACTCCAGCCAGAAAGCAAAAAAATGTATGAAGTACTTAGCAACCCTGTGGCAGATTTCTGCTATAATTTAAGATACAGGGGCTGTAAATATCCATAGGAAGAAAAATGCTCATTTGCATCAGATACTAGCTGCTATTACCATGTGACTGAAAATAGGTAAATGAATTTTGCTACCTAACATAGATAGGAAAAAATGGATTAGAGAAAATTAGAAAATTCTGGAGAAGTTAATTCTATCAGGGTATAATGAAGAGTTTAGTCCCAATCTCATTATCCAGAGTCAAAAAAAAAAAAAAAAAGGAGAGGAGAGGAGAGGAGAGGAGGAAGAAGTTATGGCTGATTTTTTGTAGGGCTTTGTAGAAAAAAAAAGTTTCTGGATTTTCTTCTTAGCCATTTCTTCATCTTCTAAATCCCAGCTGAATTTAAGAAGAATGTTCCTCCAAGCCTCTTTTTAAAATGATCACTTTTGTAAGAGTAAGGAATACAAGTCTGTCATGTGGCAATAAGATTTATGTTCCTCTGATAATCTTTCCTTATGATGTGCAGTGCATTCTTTGTTGTGTTGGGGGGTGAGGGGTGGGTGAGGGGTAGTGGAGCAAACTATACTGACTTACCCATGTTTTGCTCTCCCAGCCTTAGCATTGCATATTAGTTCTTGGAGTGCTTATATTGTATTGCATATGAATAATAATACGAAAGCCTGTTTTTAAGCTTTGAGACTCACAAAGATTCTCAATTATTTTTCTAGGATTTCTTTTGTGGGTATACCATAAAGGAGAATATTTGTAGGTTAAAATAAGGGATCCTTGGTACTCTGAGTTTGGTTGTTTTCTTGCAGATATTTCATTACTCAAACTAGGTAACATTATCAGTGCATCATCACAAGAAAACAAGCAAGCTCAGAGAGCAGCATTTTTTGTGTGTAACAGATAGGGAAATATTCAAAGTTTTGATAAAATGTGCAGTGTTGTATATGGAAGTGTTGTATATGTATATGGTTGTATATACCTTTGACTTGTTCAACAATGACTAAAAATTTACAGAGCTTGGATAGTGTCTGAGAGTGATTTGTCATTGGATTAATCCTTGTTTCTGATTACTGGTTAGTAACTATAATAGTGTTTTTGTATAACTAGTACAAGGTGGAACAACGTTAATCTGAAACACAGGTACATAGTAACTTTAAACTGACTTACAGAAATATTCCATTAGTTTATTCATGTTTATCTGATTTGAATCCTGCTTTTCAAAGTATCAGAATCTTTCTCCAAATCTCTGTCCTTACAACATCAACTTTATGTTGTAGTCTGGGTAGAGAGAGGATGCTACATCACCCAATGAGTTTCTGCAACTAAATATGGAACTTATCGTCATACTGAAGCATCACAGTCATATTGAAGCATATAATTTGCCTCCATCACATTGGCCCTTAAATATCCCTTTTTGTGCCTCTAATAAATTGGTACCACTGCATTTGATTGGTACGAAATGAAGACTATGTCCTTGTAACTATGCATTACAATTAGCACAGAGCTTGGCTTCTTTATTATTAAGCAAGATAGAAGTTTGAGTCATAATGGAATTTCAGAACCTTGGATAGTTCCAATAATAAACTATCCTCAAATAATATATTGAGCAGATTTAGATTACCTTATCAAGATTATGTTCCTTTTTTGAAGATCAAAATGTTGATCTTCTGATTTGGAGATTAGCTTTTTATAAACTTTCCATCAGTATTTTGTGTGATGCTTTCAGTTCTGCAGAAAGTCTGAACCTCTGCCAGTACCTAAGAAGATTCTTGCTTAAGGGTGCTTTCTTTGACCAGATTCCAACTGATAGCTGCTGATTCAGCATTAATTCAGCACCTTCACTGTCTGCATATTGCAAGAGGCATGGTTGATGAAAACTGATCTGCAATGTGGACTTGATCTCTGCTGAGATCTGAGTGATTCATGTTACTTGAAAGTTTTTCTATATATGTATTTAACATAACAACTGTATTTTAATCCTGAAATTTTTTTGGAAGGTAATAGATGAGCAAAATGACTTCCAGTTGCCAGCATCAGTAAAAATAATAATGGATTCTTGGACCTGCCAGAAGGGCTTTCCACTCCTGACAGTAGATTTCTCAACTGGCAATATTAGCCAGGAACCATTTTTTGCTGAAAAAAAAGAACACAACTCAGAGTACGTGTTTTTTAAAAAAGTAATAATAATAACAATATAAAGACTTTAAACAGAGATTTAGTGGCATAAAAATAGGGTGCAAATACTAATCGATGTGTTTGGTGCCATTCCCAAAAATTCGGAAAAGTATTTGAACACAATAGCAATGGATAGAATCTCAGTTAACATCAATTACAAAGGTTGCATTACTTGTATTAGTGTGCATGTGTTTGTAGATAGACAGACAGACAGACAGCTAAACATATATTAATTATCCTAGATCTTTAGGAAAGATCCAAATACAGATGACAGTATGAATTTTTTAAATATATGGTCCGCAAGTTTTCATGATAGAAATAAATTCAATTAGCACACTTTCCCAGTACAAACTTTTTTTAGCACAATTTGTTATTTCTGCAGCTCCCAAATCTGCAAACTATGATTTGTGCTTACCCTCTGAAACAAAGATGGAAATTTGTTTCTTAGACATTATTTATAAATGCCAAAATGAATCTTACATTGCATCTGATTAAATAACCTTTGTTGTCCCCCCCCCCCGTGGGCACATTGGAACACATTAAAAATGAAATTTAGTTCCTTGCTCTCAAAATGTGCACACACATAACACACATTTAAACATGCTATATACAACATATGTATAAACTTACACAATTACATATAAATAACATATAAATATTAAACACTGTCCATCTTGAATACATAATGGAAAGAGGAAGCTTTAGAGTTCACAAGGTTAATACTGTATGGAACAAAACTATGACTGAATCTGGATGTTCTGCTTCTGAGCAGGAATATGGGACACTTGGCTATTCAGCTGATTTTTTTTTATTGTACAAACCATAAATTGGAGAACCACCCAAACTGGGCCAATTCATTATGCTTTAATCTGTACTAAATTATTAGAAATTAAGTAAAGAATTAGAAATAAAGTAAACAATGAAGTTAAGAACAAGGATTTAATCTGAGGCTAATAGTATTTATAATAACATTTATTTTATTTTTTTAGAAAACATAAGAGTAAATATCCTTCAGCTGTCAGTCCCTGTTCTGGAATGCTTATTACTATCACAGTCCTCATTTTCAGCAGCTTGCATTGAATGTGTAAATATTTATATGAGAATATAATCAAATATCAGTCAGCCAAAGAAGTTTTCTAATCTTCTAGACAGTATTATAGCACTTTTTAACAAACACGTGCACACAAATATAAAGCAGCTTATTTTGTTGGGTTGAAACCTGGAAAAAGCTGACAGTAATAGATTTATCTCAGCTGTGTCATTGGAATGCAGCATGTACTCAACTGAAAAAGAGTTAAAATCACATAGTAGAACTTTCTTATCTTTGGAATGTGCCTGTTCCATGAGAACAGGTTCTCTTGGAATCAACACTATTTATTTCCATACAAGGAATATGACTTATAAAGGACAAACCTTTGAAAAAGGAAATCCATGAGCATCATTATGCATTCTAGTTGTCAGGTATAGAAAGTAATGTTTCTTATATACTTACAGATATTACCATATTAGAGGTAAGACAGTCACATGCATATTATATTAGGCTTAAATGTAGATGACATCTATGGAATTCAAGTACACACAAAAGTTCCAATTCACAACAGTGGAGTGTGAGTAATTTTTTAGGTATAAACAGACTTTGTATTGCACATTTGAACTGTAACATTTTCCAAAAAAAGAGAGTTTTTTCTAAGAACTTTTTTGTGAATTTATGTAATAGCATTTGAATGGTATTTTACTTCGGATTACTTATGGATTAATTATCAATTGTTATTTTTTATTAAGTAGCACATGGATTATTCCTATTTCTTGGATAAGAAATGGAACATTACAACCTTTAGTATGGCTTGATAAACGTAGTAGTAAGTATGTTTTCCTGAATTTAAGAAAGTCTTTACTGTCAGCAATATATGAGTCTGAACATTTGAAAGAAACAGATTACAGCCAAAGTATCTAATGATGAGTTATAGTAATTTCCTCCGCTTCCCATATAGGTTCCTTAACAGAAAATTTGGAGGTGGGTGGGTAGCAGGAATAATTAAAAATAATTAACAGAATGGCAAAGAGTTTGATTAAAAATCATTTGAGGCTCCTGATAGAAAAGAAACTGGAAAGCAGATGAGAAGAGAATTAAATTGGTGATTAGGAAGGCACTTTAAGAGAGTAAAGCTTAATTTAGGATAGATATAGTTAATCTCTGTCCTATGGTGTTGGTACACACCAAAGAATTGTAGCAGTTCTGTCCTTTTCTTACCAAAAGCCAATTCTACCATCTTAGGCTAGGAAAAGTGAAAAACTGAAAATGAATGCTGCAATCAGCAAATCAATTTATTATACTTTTACATCTTTCAAAAAATGGGAAAGAATTTCAGTACTCTAAACAGATCCAAATATTTCAGTGTGATATGATTATGAAAAAGGTTGTATCAATGACTTTTATCACTGTTATGGTTTTGAGAACTATGCAGCACATGTGTAGGCAATGTGATAAGCTGCATTTGGTATATTTGCTTCTTTTTTTACATTAGAAATTATGCAACATGTCATCATGAGCATACGTAAGTTTTCAGAAGGGCACTGTTAAAAAAAATTGTGCTAAGTTTTCTTCCTTTCATGTGTTTACAGAAATATTTCCTGAAATGAAAATATCAGATTCAGAACACGATTGGATTGTTTTAAATGTGAACATGAGTGCTTACTATAGAATCAACTATGATCAAAAGTATTGGAGAAGATTGGCCAAAGTGCTTGAAGATGATCCAAAGGTATGATAGCTTTTATCATGATTATGTAGATGATTATTATAAGAATAATTATGTTAGTCTACAGTGCAGCATTTTCTCAAGGTAGTTTGAATCATGATTTTCCTTCATGGTGCTCCATCACTGGAGGTTTTTAAGAAGAGATTGGACAACCACTTGTCTGAAATGGTACAGGGTCTCCTGTTTCAGCAAGGTTTTGGACTAGAAGACCTCCAAGGTTTTTTCCAATTCTGGTATTCTGTTATTTGGCTAATTCTGGTCATAGAGAGAATCATATTCCTAAAGTGGATGAGGCTAGGGATAATTCTTGAAATGTCTAGGAATTTTAGGAGTCAAAGAGCACAAGCATTTGCAAGGTTTTACTCTTAGTCTCCATTCCTACACAAAAATGTCAACTTTTGGTATGTATTTAATCCATATTCTAAAATGCAATAAAGAATACATTCTCTTCCAAAATGTCTTAAGTAAAAGGGAAATTCAGAAGAATGTAGTCCTGATAGAGATCACTAAATATAATTTATGGATTGAGGACATGAATGAAGGTAGCATATTGTTTAATATAATCATGGATTTGGTTTCCTACATGTCTATAGTGGGAAGGAAACAGAAATCAGAAAAAAGCACAGAAATATCTTGATGGGTTTAACACCCATTTTAATCATATTGTTCCAGCACCAGGCGTATTAAGGTCTCAGCAGTCTGGCATGTTTATCTTAGAGGAATGAGGAAATGGATAGCCTATATTCTTTGTGCATGAATGTAATTTAGAAATTCCACCAATTGATAAGGTTTAGGAGATATTTATGAAGGACTAGCAATATTACAATTTCAAATTAGAACTTGTCGTATATTTTTTAAAAGTCATCTTGAATAGCAGATCAATATAATAAATGTTTTAGGAGTTTGAAGAAGTATTGCAGATACTTTGAACTACTATAAATATGAAGATAACTGTTTTAAATAAACTATAGCACATGGGTATCTTTGCAGGCTATTCCTTCTGTCAGCAGATTACAGTTAATGGGAGATGCCTTTCATTTGATTTGGTAAGCTATGCACTGTAGTAGATTTCTCTACACTTATAATTGAGTTCTGCATTCATTCTGCATCTGATCCCTTTTTTAAAAACAACTGATACATTTTTCTCTACACTTTCTTCTTGCACCATCTTTGAGTTTCAAGTGCAAGTAGCTCAATGTACCACATTTGCTGGATCCTTTGATCTACTGGATTAATCAACAAGAGTTGAGGAAAGAAATAAGGCATGGATTTTAAACTAATACATATTGCAAGGTCTATAACACTTTGAAATACCTTTCCTAGCCTTGGTGACTAGACAACTCCACACAATGAAAGGATTTCTTAATGCAGCAGCACTCCCAACCTTTGGGGACTTGTTCCATGGAGAAGGGGTTTTCCACGGACTGGAGGGGACGTGGTTTCACACGCTGCCTGTATCCTGTTGATGCGGCTTCTTTGTGTGGCCCAGTTTTTTTTTTATTGAAAATTTTTTAAGTTTTACAAAAAAAAATTCCCTTCCCCGAACCCTCCCAACCCTCCTCTACCCTCCCCCGACCTTCCCGGAGCTGAATACAGGCTTAATTAAAATTTAAAAAAAATCTTAAAACACATATAAACCATAAGCAAATCTAAATACATTGATTAAACAAATTATAAAATAGTTAACAACAATATATAAAGAAAACAAGAAGAAAGAAAAGAAACAGAAAAAGAAAAGATAAAATAAAAAAGGAAAATAAAAAATTAAAAAAATATCTATAAAATATCTTAAACTTTAAATATGAATTATTCAAAAACTAAATAATATTTTTTTATATCCAACTTATGTTGTATGAAATCTATCCATTTTTTCCATACCAGGAGGTACTTCTCTTGCGATTGATCTTTCAAGAAAGCCGAAATCTTTGCCATTTCCGCCAAATAAGAAACTTTAAGAAACCATTCTTGCAATGTAGGCAAAGATTCCTTCTTCCAACATTGCCCTACTAACAACCTGGCCGCTGTAATTAAATTTAACATTAATATAGTCTCTTTACTATCACAATTAGAAACAATACCTAACAAAAACAATTGTGGAGTAAATTTTATCCTTCTTCTAAAAATTATTTGAATATTCCACCATATCTTAATCCAAAAAGCTTTTATATTTTTACATGACCACCAAATGTGGTAATAAGTAGCATCCAAACACCCACATCTCCAACATTTAGGCTGCAAGTCAGGATACATACGAGACATTTTTTGTGGATCAAGGTGCCATCTATAAAACATGTGTGGCCCAGTTTTTGACATGCCGAGGCCCTGTGCTGGTCCACTGACCAGGGGCTGAGGACCCCTGTCTTAATGCATTCCCTTTCCCTTAACTTAGTTCCTGAACAAGTGTGAATCCACAAACAGAAGGGGTGCATGGTAATGTGAACTGACTTCTACTAGCTATCTGCAATTTCTTCCTCCTCACTTTATTTAGGTGATTGCATCTGTGCACTGGAAAGGTAGACATTCTTTGGAGGCTGGGCACTAACATTGGTTCTACAGAAATATTTGAAAGCAACACACGTGTGAGATGATGTATAGGGCTACTAGACACCACTTATTCACAAATATATTCTTGCATAAATATTATGAATGCATAGGAGAAAGGAAAAAGACATCTTGAACAAGGTTGTTGGGAACAAGGGAGGTTTACTATTATCCCTTCTGCTACACAGTAAAGTTTTTTCACTATAAATAGGTAGCAGGAGCCTGTGATTGAAAATAGGTCATAAGCACTGGGGAAAAGGACAGAACTGCTACAGTTCCTTGAGCAGCAGAATGAGTGACAAAGAGCAATGCGTTGCCCAGTTTTCTTCACCCTTACATTGAACGGTCTTTTGTCTGATCACATCCAATATACATGTTTACAATATATTCCAAGTTGTTTATTGTAGGAATAGATCCCTCATAATTCAGTCCCTTTACTCTTCAGCCTGTGTGATGCTGTGTAATGCAGTCCCAAGAATGTATACTCAGATGTAAATTTCATTTAGGATTTCCTACTAAAAGTATTTAAGACTGCAGCCTTGGCCATGCACGTGCCTCTTCTGCCAATCATTCTTACTGGCATTTTTAAATCTGCATTCCAAATATGTACTTTCTATCCTGCCTCTATCCTGTTTCTTGCTCCTGCCCTTTTTCTGCTCCAGCTCTGACCCCAGACCACCTGCCTTCTCTGGCCTCGGCCTGCTTCCTGATCCAGCTCAAGTCCTCGCCATTCATAAGCTTTTGAACTGTGAGTATATCTTGAATTCTGCCAGTATTTTCTTCTATCTGGCTACTGATTCAGAAGCAAATTAAAGACAAAATTAAGAGGTATTTCCAGATGGACAAGTCCTGGACTAATAAAATATCTTGCATTCTTTTTCTATCTTTTCCTCTTTAATTGCTTTTATGCTGAATGTCCCAACTTGGGAAAGGCTGTGATAAATAATGATACCTGGACATCTCTAAATTCTGAACAGGGAAAGTGCCTAATACATTTTTCCTCTGTAAAGACCTTTAGGGTCACTATGTTTTGAAACCAATTTAAACCATTTCAGATGCAATGCATATATGAAATGGTAGTCTGTGTAGCATCCTGATGTTGAGAGTAGTCAAGTAAACTGGGAAGGTGCTTTGCAGAATTTCTTACATGATTTTATTTACAAAGGAATATTGTGTCAATAGTAAGGTTATAAACTACAAGCAATGGTTTTATTTCTGCAATCTCTATAGTTTTCATTTGTGCTTTTGTTTTTCTTGTTCCCAATGCTGCTGCTTTACCCCAGGTCTTCATCATAATATTTTTATATACCTTAATTTTTGCAGTTCAGTAATCTGATTCATCCCAAAAGTTTTCTAATGTAGTAAGCATTGGGAAAAAAAATATGTAGAATGGGACAAGATTGAGTCCAAAATTTGTCAGACCTCTTAGTTTTACAACTCCTCTCTTTTTAAAAGACAATTCTCAGGTAGAGGTTTTGATGCTTTTAAAGTCAATGAAACCATATTGTCTAAAAGGAATATTCATTTCAACTTCTTTCAGTTAACATAGCATGAAAAGTTAGCTTTGTATGTGTTTGTGTATTTTAAGGCCTTTTTTCTCAAATGTCATTTCTTTGGTTGATCATAATATTGTTGAAGCTCTAACCATTTATTTATAAATGCACTTTTTCAGGATTTAAAAACTCTTCTAAGCTATGTTAGGACTGGCAATCTCTGCTAATTATTTTATTTTATTATTTCAGAAAGGAGTACAAATATTGATACCTTCCAAAGTGAACTATATATATTACTCCTACCAAACAGCTTTGGTTTTTGTTTCTTTCATGTCACTGCTCTTATTCATATGTTCTTGTGTATATGTGTATGGATTCTGTTTTACAAACTTTACAACTCCATGTAATACTTGTTCATGATTAATATGTATAATAGGATTGTCTGTAGGATTTTAATATGCTATTCATATAAAAGAATATTATTGAGATTTATTGACAAGTATTTGAGAACCACACATTAAATATGACTTATTTTATATAGGTCCAATCACACTGGATATGAGACTCCATTGTATTTAACAAAATACCTTGAAAAAGAAGATGATTCAACAGTGTGGATGATGGCATTGCATGTACTGGGCATTTTCAACAGTGATTTTCTTCTGAGAGATCCTGAATTATACCCAGTTTTAAAGGTAACTGAAGTGGATGCTGAAATTGATTATATTCAGCCTAAATATTCTCAACACACTAAGGAAGGAAAGAAACTAAGTTTTGATCTGTTCTGTTCTGGGGCATTTTGCAAAATGTTACAAGCTAACAATCAGATTCTGATAAAAATTATACAATCAGAAGCTCTCCGTGTGTACATCTTTTTTTTAAAATGACCCTGTAGTCCTTTAATTCATGGTAGAGTCAGGGTGACTGTGTGAAGCTGAGCATTTATTGGCTGGATACCCTTCCTGATGTCTATGTGGAGATTGCAGCAAATATTTTTTTCTTTGTGCCCTAAGAGAGAAACATCTACTGCTACCTAGGATTGAACTCCCAACCTTCTGAGTGGGAGACGAGCATCTTCACCACTAGGCCATTCCCCCAACACATATATATTCTCCTCAGGGCTTTTTTTGTCATAGAACGCCCAGAATGGAGTTCCGGCACCTTTTTTGATGGAACCTTGTAGGGTAGGCAAGGCGGGTTGTCTGACATGTGATAGTTCTGGTACCTTTTTTTATATATATATATAAAAAAGCACTGATTCTCCTGAATTCAAGTACAGGAAATGGAGGCACATTTGGAGAATATGGAAATTATTTTTCTTTGAGAGAATTAGAATAGGAAAGTATCTTTATAATAAGAAATATCAAACCTATAGTTAGGAATAAGTTTAATAGGACTGATCATAATTTCTCAAAAAAAATGTATTCTTTCCATATTTTGAGGATTTGATTTGTCACTGGTCAAGAATCAGTGTCTTTTCCCAATTATAAAACAACGATGTCTTTTTTTTCTTTAAAGCAATACTTACTACCACGAATAACACCAATATATCATCACTACGCAAATCTTCTTCGTGAGAGTCCTAAAGCATTGGATATGAAGGTATTCACCAAGTAAGTCTTAAATATGATTAAAATATCGAAGAAATTGTTAAATACAAAGTAATAATGAGTTTAACTGATATTGGAGAAATTCCTTTCCAATTAATATGTTCAAATAAATATAATTTATATACTTCATACTAAATATTTCCTGTATAATACCTACACACCGCTCTCTTATTTTTTAGAAAATAGCCACATAGTGTTGTCATCAAATTGTCTTCAAACATGTTTTTAGTTCATGCTTAAATCAGGGATTAACATTTCTTTTATTTACTTATATTTTAGTGCTTTTAAAATAATAACAGAAAAAGAAAAGGAATAAAACATAAAAATAATGCAGATACATATATTCTCAAAAAAGAACCAGTGCATAAAAAGCTCCTTTAAAAAAATGAAAGACCCCCCCCCCCGAAGTATAATACGAGGGCAATTTGGAAATAAACTTCCATTTGATTATCAATGACAGACACTCATAGATACAGAACTTTTATTATACACATTAAAAAACTACAACATTACATTGTTGTAGTGGTGTTGTTCACGATAATGCTTGCCCACACACAGCTAAATGCACCCAAGAACTTTTGAAGCAGTTACATTGGGATGTTTTTGATCACCTCCCCCCAATAGCCCTGATTTGATATTGAGCAACTACTACTAAGGAATTTTAAACCTTGTAAGACGTTATGACGTGCCTCAATTTGAATGGCGATTATGTTGAAAAGCAATGTAATGTTGTAATTTTCTTATGTGTATAATAAAAGTTCTGTATCTGGGAGTGCCTGTCATTGATAACCAAAGGGAGGTTTATTTCTGAATTGCCCTCATATATCATTATAACAGTTACAATTCTATATATTCTTATTTAATGTAGGCATTATTGAAGTACATGTATATTTATTTCTAATACATTAGTATAAACTATCTTTTGTGTTTAAACTATTGTGTTTGTATAAATGAGTTCCAGATTTCATTATACAAATAAAGTTCTCCATACAAGGTCTACATCTATGGGCAATCCACTCAGAGATAACAAGTGTAATCAGGTCTTCAACCCACTGAATAAATGGGGCCATATTTTTACATTCCAATGCTGCAATATCAATCTTTTGGCCATAGTAAGGCATAAAGAATCCACTTACATTATCCAGTTGTAAAATTCCACATAATATGTATGAAATTCAAGAAAATATTGTCTTCTGCAAATTTTAACTTTTGTCAGTCATATTTATATAATCCACTACTTTCTCCTCAAATTTAGTAAGTGTAGAACATTGTAAAAACATGCATTTTAAAGAAGCATTGTCCATATAACATTTTCAACAAAAGCTGTCTATCCAAGTGTAATGGGGTTAATAGATTTTTTGATGTGCAGAGGCTGACACTTTTTTTTTTTTTTAAAAAAAATCAGAATTGTACACATAGGCAAAATCAGTAATTTACAGATCCCCCTTCCAGATTTTGGGTGTTTTTTTTTCTTTTTAATTTTGCAGGATTAGAGATATCTTTGTTCTTTTAACCAAATGTATCTTTTCCTTGTGTCAAAATGGCAGGAAATTATACTTGTCAGTAAGGGTTGGAGAGAGGTTCAGGCAGAACAAAGAGCATTTAGTCCCAGGACCACCCACTGTTTATATCTTACAGCTGTGTATATATATGTGTGTGAGTTGAACTGTGTGTAATAGTGTGTTACTTACTATGTTGCAGTGATTGAATCCTTTTAGTCTCTTTCCTTATTAAGAGCTCTTTTATTGTGTTTCTGATTCTTGTTTGTATAAATGGATGATTAATCGTGTAAATAAATAGTGTATATCATAATATTTATTTAATTCAATTTACATGTACCTGAGTCCAAAGTGAGTCTGAGTGGCTTACAATAAAGTAAGGAATAAAAACATACTACAAAACAAAACAGAACTGATCATACCAAAAAAATAATGTTTTATTTATTTTGTGTTGCTTTTAAAATGACAAAAAAAGAAAAACAAAACACAAAGATAATTATGATAAAATACTATTTTAACTTTTTTAAAAAGCACTTTGTATTTTTCCTTTTCTTTGACAATGTCTGTATTTTTCTCATAACAAAAAAATAAATAAAAAATTTAACAAAGGAGGAAAAATCAATAAAGTCCACCTTCATGATGAAAGGCAGAGATATTAACTCATCAATTTTCCCAATTATTTATTCAGTCAAGACCAGAGAAGACGCACTACAAATATGACCTTGCAAACAAGCCCAGGTGCTAAAAAGTATGCATTAAATAGTATTGATTCTTTGATGTAATGCATTGTATTTAATAGATTTCTCTTTCTTTTTCTCTCTCTTTTTTTTTTTGGAGACATGATATAGAGGAAATTCTTAGAACAGCGTGCTGGTTTGGGCTTCGCGACTGTTTAAACCTAGCTTCTGAATTCTTCAACGAGTGGATGAACAATTCCAAACATGAGTAAATAGAATTTATCATCTCATCCTTAATATAAAATCTGCTCTTTTCCCACAAAACATGTCTAAAGCTGTGTAAATACTAGACAGTGATTGTAAAAACAAGCACCAAACGTACAGAGAAGAAAAACAAAAACAAAGCATTGGGACAGAGCAGAAGTAATAAATCCTAAATAAAATCCTAATAAACCATATGGATAGAAGCTGTAAAACAACATTGCATGCTTTAGGGATTCTGTCATTTTCACCACACAGGGATAGAAAATGTAACTTATAATGCATATGAAAGTAAATTTATTTTGTGCAGTTGGGTATGCTAGATGATTACTAATTGGGTATGCTAGATGACTACTATTGGAATAACTGAAAATATGTATCTGTGAAAACATAGAATGCTCTCTATTTAGGATTATATTAATCACAATAACTAGTTTCATCTCTTTATATTAACAGGTTGTTCCATTTATAATTGCAGGGTTCCTGTTTGTTTTAGCTCAACTATTTGTTGCTATGGCATTTGGATGGGGAATGAGGAAGAATGGGAATTTTTATGGAAAATTTTTAAAAAGAATGAGACTGAAGATGCATACAAATCCAATATATTCTTTGCCCTGAGCTGCACTCGCATGCCGTGGTTACTTCAGAGGTGATTTAATTAATGTTTCCACTGACAGAAAAAATAAATCATGATTTCACAAGCCAGAAGCAATAGCAACATTACATAGTTCATTCACTTCTTGCTAGATATGGACATGATTGTATAATTATTTATTCTTTTTTTAAAAAAAAATAGTTGCAAACATGAATGTTTCTGCATGCTAAGGTTGGAATTCCATTTTTCAAATTCCTTTGTTCATTTCTTTGATAGTAAGATCACTTTTCTGAATAAAGTTACTTTATATACACCTGGAAATTCTCACTTTTGCACTTTTCTTGCTCTTCAAAAATTTATTTTCAGATGATTAAATTGGCAAAACCAAAATGTTTTTTAAAAATCATGTCTCTAAGATAAATGTAACAAAAGTAACAAACATGAACAAATTCATGTAACAAATCTCACAATTGGTCTTATCTGCATTCTTCTGTGCATTTCTTTGATTGTCTTTCTTACAGAAAACTGAATCTTATTATTTGACTGAAAATAGAAATCTGACTATAGTAGTAATTTTCAACCATGGGAGCTTTAGGGATGCTGACTGGAGGATTCTGGCAATCAAAGTCCATCTTAAAATTGCCAAAGTTGAGAAACACTAGACTATAATTTTAAAAGTTCTGAAATCAGGATCCTTGTCTATTTCCTCAGTTGTTTGTGTTTTTAGAAGAAACTATCTGCAGTGCTGTTCCATAATGGGGGTGACTGTAGTGGTTGATATGTTTTGAAAGGAAAAAACATTTGTAATGACTTTGTGAATTTATCAAAGCTTTGGTGAATCCTGCACTTAGTTGTTCAAGACATAATACAAGCTTTGTCTGAAGTTTCCAAATATAACATTATCAAGTATCTGTAATTCCTATAACAATGGTAACTTTGTATATTCCCCTCCCCATTCTTTCCATTATTTATAAGTGATCCCATTTATAATTGTATGTTTAGTAGCATTTTAGAAATGAATGTTCTTCTTACAAATGTGATTTATTGTGAATAAACCTCTGTGCAGATACTTGCATTATATCCACAATGATGAGCCGAATCTACCAATTATTACAGCCGAAGCAATTCGGAATGTGGTCAAGAATGAGATTGGATATTTGACAGCATGGATATTTGTATCAGAAAATTGGTCAGATCTGCCCATTAGGTAATGACAGTCAAGTTCCATGTCTTTGGGGTTGGGGGAGAATATTTGTCCTGAAATATTTTATTCCATTATGCATGAACAACAGAATTAGACATCAACATTAAGCAACAAAAAAACTGCTCCCTTATTTATTTATTTTAGAAAATCTGTTGCTGTAAGCAGCAACACTCTGGTATGAATCCAGAAAAATTCTTTGATATATCCATTTATACTGGGACTGTAAATTCACAAAAAGCTGGGAAGTAATTTTTATTAATCTCTTTTCTATGCAACCTGAACCAGTTCTAAACTAAGATGTTATTCTTTTCTTCTCCTATTAGCATTCCATGAGTTGAAATCTAGGTGTTCTTAGGCTCGCTAGATTTACTGAGAAAGAATTGGATCAAATGCAGTGTGAACTTTCCATATAGATGTTTGTTTATTTAGAAAATTTATATAGCTGCCCATCTTAAGTACATAACCCTAAATCAGTGGTTCTCAAATAGTGGGGCAGGCCCCCCAGGGGGGGCACGAGGCTCCGTAAAGGGGGGCTCGTTTGACCTCAGCAAATACTGTCATATTGGACGCACGTGACACACGCAAAGGACCCGATTGGATAGACAGTCACGCGGGGGGGCGCGAAATGTTTTCTTCTTCCTAGGGGGGGCATGACAGAAAATAATTGAGAACCACTGCCCTAAATCAACCTGTTTTAACAGTTCAATTTTATTCTTTCAAAGTAAGTTTGAGTAGAAACTGAAAGGTGAAAATATTACAGCATAAACTGAGCATCTTTTCAAAATTTTTCCTTTATAAAAAATAACAATGCTCTTTGTCACAGGTTCACACTGAATGCTCTCATGACCACTATTACTACTGACATTCAAATGCAAATGGTAAGTAGAATAAGAAAATATAGCATAATAAGGTAACTAAAAGTATTTGCCCTGAAATGGAACAGTTCAATTATTTTTATGCCAAAGGCTATACTTAGCATTTGAATGATAGGCTGGGGCCATATTACCCTAAAATACAAGCCAGTTTGGTATAGTGATTAAGCTGCTGGTCTTCAGGAGATAGTGAATTCTAGATCTCCCTTAGACATGAAAGCCAACTGGGTAACTTTGGATCATACATTATCTCTCAGACCAAGTGACTTTACAGAGTTGTTGTGGGGAAAATAGGAGGAGGAGGACTATTACTATATGTTTGCTGATGCAAAATAAAAATGGGATAAAAATCTAATGATCTATAAATAAAACACAATCATAACAGCTTAGAGATTGAAGAGATTTTAGAAGCCAACTATGCAATTCCATGCTCAGTGCAGAATTTGCTAAAGCATTTATTGGCTAGCTGGCTACCATGCTTCAATTTGCCACTTTGTAAGGCAAGCTGTTTCAATGGCTGACTCTTAAAGTCAAGAAATTCCATCTGTGATCTTAAATGAAATTACTTTCCTGTAGCTTTAACTCATTGGTTGTGGTCCTGATATTTAGGCTAACATACAAGTCAGTTATTTTCTTTGTATCTGAAAACTATTATTATATGCTCCAGTTTCTTGCAGTTGTGTTAATTGTTCTTCATTGTTTCCAGCCCCCTTATTATCTTCCTCTGAACTTGTTCCAATTTGCTGATGTTCTTTTCAGACTGCAGTGTCCAGAAAAGGACCCAATATTTCATATGGGAATTGACTAGGGCAGAATAAAGTGGGTCAATTACTTTCTGAGATCTGGATTTTGCCCCCAATTCTTAAATAGCAATAAGAAACTTAACACATGTTCATTTTGCAGTCTACTACTATATTGATAGTTTATATATTGGATTTTCATCCTGCCTTTATTATTTTTATAAATAATTCAAGGTGACAAATGTACACAATACTCTTTTCCCCTCCTATTTTCCCCACAATCACAACCCTATGAGGTGATTTGGGTTGAGAGAGAATGATTGTCCCAAGGTCATCCAGCCGGTTATTTATGTCCAAGGAAGGGTCTCAATTTCTAGCCTGATGCCTTAACCACCAGCCCAATACCTGGTGTATAAATCTGGGATGTCTGAATTTCCATCTAATACTTTGAAGAGATACTTTCTGTGGGCAACTTTTATTTCTATAAGATATCCCTATTTGAATTTTTCTCTAACTTAATATGTGAAATCCCATCCCCTTATACTTTATGTGGCATTTAGAAGCAGTCTTGGGTTGCTAGGGCAGGAGAAAATGGAAAGCAAGCTTGTTAGAACTTTCCCCAGTGAAATGTCTCCTCTACCTTTGCTTCCAAAATTACTAAGAACAAGAGTTAAGCCATTTCCAGTTATATATTTGATTTGTATAATCACTTGTGTGATGATGACGATGTTATCCATTCAGTCGTGTCTGACTCTTGGTGATTCTATGGGCCAGGTCTCTCCATATCTTCCAATCTTGCACTACTTCTTTGAGTTTTTCCAGCCAGAGCATAGAAAAACAATATAATAATCAAATAAAAACAATTATGTAAATACAATGAATACAATAATCAAATAAAAACAATTATGTAAATACAATGATTGCAAAATATAAACCAATCATTATTAAAAAATTAAAGGATATTAAAAAGATATACAAACCAGAGGCATGGGAGAATGAAAAGTGGACCTATCTTAGGATGTTATTTGTTTCCTGGGACCCAAGCTTGGTGATATAACCAGGTCTGGAAGGACTTTTGGAATGTTGACAAGAATGGCAGTAACTTGACTTTCTATTTATCTGTTTGTGTGCAGTTCCTTCTACTTTATAAAGAAAAGGATTACGGTATCTGATATACTTTTCATTATGTTAAATTATGTCATAAAATACACTGCTTAGATTAACACTTGCCCTTATTACTCTTTGTCTGCTTTATTTTAGATACAGGTTTTGCTTAATAATACCCTTGAACCTGAAGAAAAAGTAGTGGCTACAGACATAATGCTGAAAGAAAAATCTGAAAATGAAAAAAGAAAAAAATCAATGACCAAAATGATCATGTGGTTAAAGGAAAATATGGACAATTGACAGTTGAGAAATTTCTTTTTTAGAAAAAGATATATTCATAGCAATTAAAATTTCCTGGGTTATTTTGGGTATACATAAAATTGTTTTCCTGTGCAAGCAATAAAATATCATTCAGTAGAAAGCACAAAGTACTGGTATTAAATAAATAATGTTTTCTCCCAGGAGTACAAAATTTCTACAAAAACATTTGCATATTTTGTGGAATTCTTCCTCTAAGAATGCACTTCCAAATGCTATGTAAAAGGAACTTCAAGGAATATTATATATTAAGGAGATTGAACAAAGGACATTTTTTATGTCTGAAATGAACTGGAAGCTAGATGACTCTGTTGTTCTCTGATGTGCCTTAGGAAATGGGACTCAAACACTTTCAGAACTATAGCTTTTTTATTTTTTAAATGAAAATGATGACAATAAAATATAAACATTTCATTATAAGAATATATCAGCTGAAAATGTTTTTCTCTGTAGTGAGCTATAAAAAGTATATGTTTTTATATTAATATATATATATATTAAATATTTTTTGAAAGTAAACTATTGTATAAGCAAAGACTGTTATTGCCAATTTTTTATAAGTTTTAGTTTTGGAGCTTAAGCTTTGTTGATTTCAGTAAAAGAGTCAAAGAACAAAGAAAGGACTCTAATGAAGGTATGCAACAAGATGTTTAAATGAAGACAGTAATACCTCCCACAGTGCATAAACCACAGCATTTTCTCTTCCTGAATTCTCTTGTTACGGTTCTAATGGGACTAGGGGCAGGACATCCTGCATATTCACAGTGAAAAACTGAATGGAAGGGATAAAAATGGAAATGGAGTGGCCTGAAAGAATCTGGCTGGCTCTGTTAATATGAGTGGTCCACATTTACTTATTTGCTATTGTGGTCTTAAACTCTCTTGCTGTACTGGTCACCTAATCCAGGGAAAGTATTACAAGCTAGAGATAAAAAAAGATACCTTGAGCATTGATTTTGCTACTCATTCTTTCAGTAATTGGGAAAGTTGTTTTTTTTTCTTCCTCTCTGATGAAATCATGTCAAGAGAGATCTGTCAGAAATAATCAGTCAACATCATTAGATCATTGGAATGTATGTCATGTTGCCCAGAGGAAATTTATGTACTTTGTGCCTAATTTTGAGTTTTCAGATCATAAAATATATGGATGGTATTTTGAACCAACTTCTTTCAAAGCTTTGCCTGTTTTAGATGTCTGGATTTTTTTTAATTGGCCAATTTATATATACCGGTAATGGCAATTTTAGATTAAATGAAATTGAAATGTTTTAGAACTATGGGGTTTTTTTTAGTAATGATTATGATGCTGCTTTAAATACACTGTTTAGGGCTCCTTCCTGAGCAAATGTATTTTCAGAAATCCTTTATAGCTGAGGCAGGAACATTTTGTCCTTAAAATCCTGAGGAAAGACTGATTACATGTGCCAAGAAAAAACGTGTGAGTTTAACTCTCCTCATTCAAGCCTCTGCGTGGTTAATTAGACATAAATACCATTGAATTCAGTGAGTTTTTTTCCTAAATAAGCACGCCCAGCCTGCAAATCTAAATATATAATAATCCAAATATATTTTCTAAGTATAATTTACTTTGAAGCAGGTAGGTCTAGTAGTGTAGTGTACATAGTGTGTGTTTTTGTTCTCTGAAGACTTATGTGAGTAATTCCTTAATCTATTGAAATTGCCCTAGATTCCCCTAGGTGGGGAACCTGAAGTATTAAAATTAAGCTTAGTTACTAGCAAGTTCTGGTTGTCTGGCCAGTATTGAAGGATACTGAAAGTTATAGTTCTGCAATAGCTGGAAGAAAAAGCTGGAAGAAAATAAATTCCAATTGCTTGTCTTTAGTGAAGAGAATAACCTGCTTAAATTATTTTGATTTTTTAAAAAATTATTTTGATTATACTAGATTTTTAAAATCAAATGGATAGGTGACTATTATGCTCCTTTTTTTTCTGCCACCACTGAAATATCCAATAAAAATACACCAATTAGAATTAGTTAATGGCTGGCCTTAGCCATTTCAGTAAAAGTGAAAAATAAGAAGCTATTTGTTTTTATGCTTATTAAAGAATCTTGAACTTGGGACATCACCGTTCAGGAAATCTGTTTAAAAATATGGACTAACTTTACATATAAAACAAACAAATAAAAATCTGAGCATTTCACTAGAAGAAAGCCAAGTTACAGAAACCTATTTTATAATGTGTCTAAAGGATGAATCATGGCAACTGGACCAAACTTTGTTAATCTGAGCAACTTCATTAGTTAGAGCAAAATTACTTAGGCAGAGGGTTAAAGAGTTGTTGGGAATGTACCAACTCTTGCCACACTAGCTTCAGGGGTTTCTCCTCCAAAAAGCCTTGCAATATGTCAGTGAAGACTCTATCTTCATTCTCAGGAGTTTCTCAATAATATAAAAAACTCTCCATTGTTATAGAATATCTTGGAATTGTGATGAAGGTAAAGTTAACCATATTCATGGATTTTTTCCCTACCTCCTGCAAGTTTAAATGTTTAATTCAGTTGATGGCTTTGACTGTATTGTGTATCACCAGCAAAGTAAAAATTCATCTGGATCAGAAAATCAAATTAAAAACTTAAATATCAGTGCTAAAAGTCTTACATTCATCTTCTGCATGAATGTATGGTAATTAAAAAACAGGAACATTGTAAAACTGCAGTTCTTGATTCTAAAGTATTTTTTCCCCATGAAGCGATGCTGTTCTCATGTTGCTTGCAGAATCCCTGGTTAAATGTGACTCAGGTGCACTAGTAGGTACACTAATTAGCACAGTCACATTGCCCATTGTGTCCAATTACGTTTGTGAGCAAACAAGTAGCATTGCTACTGAGAGACAATAAGCAGGATTTCAGACCATGTACCACTACTAACAGTTGAATTTATGCAGAGTGTACCTCTAACAGAAATTCACTATCAGATTGTTTATTGCATTTTAACAATCTTGTTAGGTAAGTTTTGAAAAAAGAATTTTGACATAGTAAGAATTACTAACTTGATCAATAAGTACCTGAAGGAGACCATTCAAGTGATGTTTCGTTTGTTGTAATTTTTTTTTGAAAATGTGAATCAGCATCCTGATTCTTAATTTTACACCTCAAAAAGAGACCTTTAAGATGATGCTAATTTTAGTAATGATCATTTACTGTCTGTCATTAAATTCATGGAATTCAACATTTATTTCATGTTTATTTATATTAGCTCTTGTGTGATTTTCCTTTGTAGAACAAGTAAACAGAATATAATTAGCTGAAAAAGAATAAACATTGTAGGTTATGCATAAGAAAGATTTTTAATTCTAACATGTGTGTAGTTTTAATGCATGTAGTTTTATGCCTGTAGTTTTATGCAATAGAATATTCATTGTGGAATATATAAAAAAATAATTTAAGAATCAATGTTTATTTTTTTTTTACCAATGTTGAAAAGACAATATAGGAGCCACCTCCAACTTCTATACATTACATGGAAGTTCTGTTTTAAGTTTTACAGGAAACTACACAATTCAAAATTCTAACCATGTTAAGATGGATTGACTCATTATTCAAAAGATTTTATTGTGATAAATATTTGAAACTATTTGAGGCAAACTTCTTTTGAAGCAGGTGCTCTATGAAATAACATTAGTGGCTGATTCATGTGAAAATAATTCTGGTTTGCATACTTATTGTATATGTTGTAAAAAATATGAAAAGAAATCAAAGTAAAACTAGATTTATTTATCTAGTGTTGCTAGGAGCATGATGCTTTGGGAACATTGTCTCTGGTTTCGGTCTTTGGGGAATAGATGAAATGTTACCAAATCACTCCAACCACAGAAATTGTACTTCCTGACTTCAGTCACAATGGGAAGAGTTTTATTTCTCCAATAAACAGCTGATTACAGAATATGTTGTTAAAGCCATGTAAATTAAAATGCAGTTGAATCCTTAAGTTCTGAAATAAAGAATAGTAACAAAGCATCTAAGGATAAATATTAATATAGCTGCTGCATATATCTGTAATACTGAAAGTCACATCTGCAATATTTTAAATGCAAATAATTACATTATATAATGATCAGATTAATTTCAAGGAATAGTAGGTTAAGCTAATGAAGTAATAATAACTAATAGTTCTCCCATTTAGCAATGAATATCTTTATATGATGCAAGGTGGGGGAGATCACAAAAAGGAAAATGATGTCTGCAATCATATAATTAAAATTGCAATCTTGATTTATTTTTTTTTATAGTCACAGACACATACTGACATCTCAGGATCCATGTCTTGTATACCAATCTTGCTACTAGACAAAACCTTGGAGTTATAGTGGATTTTTGTTTTTGAGTTTTACTGGATTTCTGGATACAGAATAATGTGTATTATTATAATAAAATAGCTGTACACAGTTACTAGTTTGCTTTAAATCAGTGTTTCCTAATGTGCTCCAGATGTGTTGGGTTACAGCTCCGAAAATTTGTAGCCGGCATGACTGTCTGCATTCTACATTTTGGAAAGGCAACTGTTTGGGCAGATTGCTTTAAGTTCATTAATCCACCTTGGGAAGAAATTGTTTTGATGTGTTATCAATCAATATAATTATCTGTATTGGAAGCAAGTTAGCTGAATTCATCAAATCTTGAACATCATAAATAAATCACTAGGTCCTGATGGCTTCTGACCAAGGGTTATTAAGGAACTTAAACCTGGAATTTTTGACCTCCTAACTAAAATATGCAACCAATTTCTACATGGTTAAATGAAAAGTTGGTCCACAAGTGATCCTTCCCTACAGTGTAAATGGAACAACTTTGTGGATGGGGATGACGCATTCAACAGACAAATCAAGTAAGGGGATTCTCTTGACAGTAACACAATTTGCTGTTACTTTCTTCTAGGATATTTTGTCCGAAGTCCTATTCTAATACACAAATCTGGGATTATTTGATGGTTTCCCCTCCAAGTGCTAGACTAGTTGGAGCCTAATTATTTAGTCCATGCAGAAAGGAAACATAAAAAATGATAAACTGTGGTATGGTTCAACTCCATAGAACAACACTGACACCTAATGGTAGATTATTTTTACTTTTTGCTGAATTTGCAATTGAAAATGCTGAATTTTTTTTTTAATGTGAGGGTTTTTATTTGTTTATGTTTGTGAAATTCCTTTTGGTGACAATTGATGAAATGTGTATAGAAATACAATACATTCCAGGCTGCATTTCCTTACACATGTAGCGCTGCAGAAAAAATAAGAGCTCCATTTTTCTAAAATGAGAAGGGAGAGAAGTCATAACAAGATCCACAAAATTGGAAGTGGTTCCTGAGGTTAGTCCTGCTGATAGAAATGAAAAGCTTACTTTCAATTATTAGATTTTTGAGCACTTTTAAAAGGTAACACATTGCTGTTTCAAAAATATTCCTGTGGGTTTTTTTCCCAAGGTAGAACCTTTGTCCACAGTGATTTGCAGAGAAACAACTTGTTCCAACAAAACCAGAACTTTTGTGTTTGTGTGTATTTTTGTTACAATCAGTAGGTGGCTATCTGCATATGATAGGGAGATAATTGGTTTTTCTATCAGTTAAAAATAAGATACTGTTTGCCATGGAGTGCTAAAGGGAGAGTGGGGCTTGCTGTTCTTTAAGTGGATACACGAATCTAACACTCGAAATCATCACCTACAATTAATAACAATAGCATTAGACGTATATACTGCTTCATAGTGCTTTATAGCCCTTTCTAAGCAGTTTACAGAGTTAGCATATTGCCCCCAACAATCTATGTCCTCATTTTACTGACATCAGAAGGATGGAAGTCTGAGTCAACTTGAGCTGGTCAGAATCAAAGTCCTTGCAGTGAACAGTGAGTTAGCTTGCAATACTGCATTCTACCAATGTGCCACCATGGCTCCTGGCGTTAATATGTCGATTTACTCAACGGAAAGAAACCCTGAAGCTTAAAAGAAATCAGCCAAAAGAAAAAGTAGACTGAAAAAAATATAAAGTCAAACATTTTCTGAAACTAATCCTGAAGATTCCCTCCCAGAGAGAGAGAGAGAGAGAGAGAGAAAGAGAGAGAGAGAGAGAGAGAGAGAGATTTACATGTGTGAGCATAGATATGCATGTGTGCACACACACAAACTCTCTCTCTCTCTCTGCTGGTTGGTTGAGTGAGAGATAAAAGCCAGCCCATACATCCATGCTCTTGGTTTTTAATCTTTATTTAATATTAATGTTATTTATTTATCTTAATATTAATTTTAATGCTTTTAATGTTTTTGTATTTATAATTTTATGCCTTTGTAAGCCACCCAGAGTTACTTTGGACAGTGAGGCGAGCAACATGTAAGATAAATAAATATATCAAACATAAATATCTGTTGATACATGTCACTGTCCAGAAACTATATTTGAAAATAGGATAGGACAAAATCAAAATAACAAAATAACTGAATTCATAACTACGGAACACATTTGTTGCCTGTAAAGTAAGGCATTCTATTTATAAAATTAATTAATACAATTATAAGGAAGAGGAGAGAAGGGGGTCAACCCTGGCCATTTGTTAACATAAATAAGCAGACCAAAGATTAAGGCTGTAACCGGAATCAAACTTCTGAGCAAGATCTTATGATTGCCAGTTATTTTGACTTTTTGAGACCTTCTCCCTGACTGTGAATGTCCTGGCCTTTAATTTATATGCAAATTGCACTACTTGACACCTGTCCCTTTTAAAACCAAGCCTTGTTGCACATGTCAGAAGATAGTGTTTGAGTTCAGGACTGGTAGCTTCCCTGGAACCTGAAGTCTTTCTATAAATAAGTTCAGTGCAATGCAATTTTCCTCTTTTAATGTAGGATTGTTTTTAAAAAAATATTTGATATTACTAGATTAACCAGTTCCAAAACTGTTTAACTTTTTTCCAACCTTAATTGAGGTTGCTATATTTTATAATTCTTGTTATGGTATTTTTTTTTGTATAGTAGTGTAGGCCAGTTTTTCTCCACCTTGGCAGTTTGAAGATGTGTGAACTTCAACTCCCAGAATTCCTCAGCCAGCATAGCTTGAAGATGACATCCACACTTCTTCAAACTGCTAAGGTGGAGAAACACTGGTGTAGGCCTAACGTCAGGCCTAATAATGTACAGGTAGTTCTCAATTTACAACAGTTTGTTTAGTGGCTGTTCAAAGTTGGAATGGCATTGAAAAAAGTGACTTATGACTGTTTTTCATACTTATGTTCATTGCAGCATCCCCATAGTTGTGTGATTAAAATTCAAATGGTTTGGCAACTGGTTCATATTTATGACAGTTGCAGTGTCTGGCATTATGTGATCAGTTTTTGCAAACTTCTGATAAGCAAAGTCAATGGGGAAGCCAGATTCACAATGGATTAATTACCAAACTGTTATGTAGGAAGTTTTAAAATGGAAATGTAGCACTTGTTAAAATGGCCACTTAAACTTGCCTCTTATGGGACAATCAATTTAAAGCTAATTGTGTATAAAAATATAATCACATGGCATTTTATTCTACTCTATAATTTCTTCATTTGTTTCTTTCCAAATCAATGTACATATACATATTCCCAATCAGGTTTTACTTTCAAAGAGTTTGAATGGTATACAGAATAATGACAGCAAAAGGCCGTGTGATATAAAGTATTTAGCTATACAACAGTAAAAAAAAATATCTTAACAAATGCCAGTGATCAAAAACTGAATCTTGTAATGTTTTGTTCTTGGGATTATTGATGAGCGTTGCTGTCTAAAATAGCGACTGTTTATTTAATGACTGTTCAAAGTTACAACAGCACTGAAAAAAAATGACCATTTTTCACACTTAAAACTGCTGCAACATCCCTGTGGTCACAAGATCAAAATTTGGATGCTTGGCAACTGAACTTATATTTATGACAGTCGTGGTGTCCCAGGGTCATGTAGTCACCTTTTGCGACCTTCTGATAAGCAAAATCAAAGGGAAAGCCAGATTTATTTATCAACTCTGTTACTAATTTAACAGCTGCATGGATTCACTCAATAACTGTAGCAAGAAAAGTCATAAAATGCGGAAAAAATCACATAACAAATATCTTGCTTAGCAACAAAAATTTTGGTCTCAATGTAGTCATAGTTTGAGGACTACTGGACCAGTTGTTATTAGACTACAAATCCAATCATCGCAACTACTGGCCAGACTGTAGCAGAACCTACACGCTAATGTAACAACTGTCACACCTCTGCCTTAAAACCAAGCTGAAGTTTGGTTCTTTAAAGCAGGGGTCCCCAGCCCCCGGTCCATGGACCAGGACTGGGCTGTAGTGTGCTAGAAACTGGGCCGGGCAAACAAATGAAGCCCCATCTGTGGGGTGCAGGCAGCACATGAAACCACGCCCCTTCCGGTCTGTGAAAAAATCTTTCTTCACTTCACAGTCCCTAGTGTCCCGAAGATTGGGGGCCACTGCTTTAAAGAAACGTTGGGCTGAAAATGCTTCACCTACGGATATTATCAAGGCATTCAATTAAACAGTCCAAAATCTTGGCATTTTCCCTGATAAAGTTATACATCCATTATTTGTGGATTTCTCATTGCAGGTTTTGCATACCTTTTAAAATGGGTGATTGCTTAGAAGGCCCATGTCCTTCGGAGGCCCCATCTGCAGCAGGGGACTTGGCAGGAGGGAGCAGCGCATGCACTAAGGAGATGACCTTGGAGCAAAAACAACAGGTACAACTTCAGAAATCTCCAAAGTGTTTATAACTTGCAGAAAATGTTTTGTAATTCACATTTAAAGATAAAAAAATAGGTCTTGCTTTTCATTCATAGGTTATCCTTTTCTGTTACGAATCTCTGGACATTTTTTTTCCTGGAATTTGGTATTGATATAAATATACTTCCTAATATGTAGTTGAATAGTTGTGGGGCATTGGCTACATATTTTCATACAAAGTGCTTCCATTGCTCAGCCCACAAATAGTTTACCCATATTCTTAGAGATAATGTTTGTTCATTTAGATAAGATTGCACCAGAACATATGCTTCATTTCAGACTTCCTTAGTGTGTGCATCCATTGTGGTGTTCAGATCATTCTGCAATTATTGGTGCAAGAAAACAAAGAGTGTCCAAATGTTCACAAGCTGGGCTGAGGCTGTGATGTATAAATCTCTTCTGATGCTAACTTTTTAGCTCCATTTATATACCCTACAATACTGAGTCACTAAGCGAGAGCTGCACAATTTAAGTCTGACCAAAGCCTTTTATCTACATCTCCTTTCTGGTGGTCAAGACTCTGTCCTATTTTTTTATCTCTTAACATACCCACAGCTCACAAAAGGTCTAAGATAAAAGTCAGAAAAATATTTCATTAATATTGTAATATATAAAGCACTAGCCTATAAACTTACTGTGATTTTAAAATTAGCAACTGCTGATAAAAGTATTCTGTGAAATGTATGTACAATACTGTCATACGTAATAAAACTGAAATGCATAGAAATCTGAGATACATAAATACTCTTAAGTTATTTTCATTTATTAAAGTATCTTATCAAAGTGAGAACTGGACATGGAACCACTGATTGGTTCAAAATTGGAAAAGGAGTCCGGCAAGGCTGTATACTGTCGCCCTGCCTATTTAACTTATATGCAGAGCACATCATGAGAAAGGCAGGGCTAGATGAATCAAAAGTTGGAATTAAGATTGCCGGGAGAAATACCAACAACCTAAGATATGCAGATGATACCACTCTAATGGCAGAAAGTGAAGAGTAACTAAAGAGCCTCTTGATGCGGGTGAAGAAGGAGAGTGCAAAAGTTGGCTTGAAACTCAACATTAAGAAAACCAAAATCATGGCATCCGGCCCTCTCAATTCCTGGCAAATAGATGGGGAAGAAATGGAGGTAGTGACAGATTTTATTTTTCTGGGCTCCAAGATCACCTCAGATGGGGGACTGCAGCCAAGAAATTAAAAGACGCTTGCTCTTGGGGAGGAAAGCTATGGCAAATCTAGACAGCATACTAAAAAGCAGAGACATCACCCTGCCAACAAAAGTGCGTATAGTCCAGGCCATGGTTTTCCCAGTTGCCATGTATGGCTGTGAAAGTTGGACCATAAGAAAGGCTGAGCGCAAAAGAATTGAGGCCTTTGAACTATGGTGCTGGAGAAGACTCCTGCGAGTCCCTTGGACTGCAAGGCATTCAAACCGGTCAGTCCTATAAGAGATCAACCCCGACTGCTCTTTAGAAGGCCAGATCCTGAAGTTGAAACTCAAATACTTTGGCCACCTAATGAGAAGGAAGGACTCACTGGGGAAGGGCCTAATGCTGGGAAAGATTGAGGGCAATAGAAGAAGGGGACGACAGAGAATGAGATGGCTGGATGGAGTCACTGAAGCAGTAGGTGTGAACTTAAATGGACTCCAGAAGATGGTAGAGGACAGGAAGACCTGGAGGAATGTTGTCCATGGGGTAGCGATGGGTCAGACACGACTTCGCAATTAACAACACAACAACAACAAGAGCTGACATAACAATCTATGTAGTATACACAGAGCTAAATATTGCTGAGAAGAGAGGAAGAAGTGTGCATTCATTCTCCATCTCTTTCTTTTGAACTTCTGTCAAAGTTAATGGGATGTCTGTTTATGAAATAGTGTTCTAGACCATCTATCTTATTTTTTCCATGCTTTAAGTCCAAAGTCTTAGACATGGATGGTTTTTATCCATTTTATCCATTTCCTCTGACATGTTGCTTATGTAATTTTGGAAATGTTTCTTTGCCATACTTGAGTTAATGTTAATGTATTTCTAATACTAAAGTTCTATTTATATATATATATATATTTCTACATTATTAGAGCTAATTGATAAAGCTCTTCAGGTTGGCTGAAATCTATTCTGGCATTTATTAATTGAAAACAAGAATTCATTTTAGCTATATTTTTCAACCATTCCCTTATTTTATAAGAATTAAAACATTTTTATGTTTAAAAAAAAGTCAGAAAAATAGAGACCATCCTAGCTCGTGCAGTTAGAAAAATAAAAGGAACAGAAAATATTGTTTGGGGATGGTAATGCAAACATGAACCATTCAAAATTGCAATCTCCTTATTTATCTTTAGCTTTTGCTCCAGTGTCTTCAGCTGCAGTACCACAAATTATTATTTTTTCTGCAGCTACTACCAATTTCAGATGGTATTGCAAAAGCAGCCTTTTGCTGTAGATTTGTCATGTTGACGTGAGATAAGTTAATACAATTCTACTCTCTGCATACACCTTGATTCAGTGCCATCCATGGAATGACATAAATTTCTTTTAGGCCTTCTGGTCTATTGCCTGACTATAGTGCAAGACAAAGACAAACAGTTTTTCTTTTTCTTTTGTCCTCTCCCCCGCCAAGGGGTTCTTAGAATGATCCGAATTATCTCATTCTTATCTTGTTCTCCATTCAAGGCCCATGTAATTATTCATAAAGCGAGGGTGCCATTTCCTGAACACTGTGTAGCTTTAATTTATAGGAGTATTTTGCAACTGAAGAGCTTTGAGTAGGAAGCCATTCCAAGTGTGCTGCAAATAAAAAGAATAAAGAAAGAAAGTAGCTTTTGGATACCTGATCTGGAGCTTTTGTAGCTGTTCCTGTTCAGGCTATTTTAGCATTAGTTTTTCTTTCCCCTGGTGTTTAGTATTATTTTCTGCGTTCTCTTTACTAGCTTTTCCCCTGCAGGCAAAATCTAGTTGGGCAGCACTTTATACTGGTACAGCATAAAACCACTTGAGCAAATAGCAGGACAAAATAGAAATCCCAAGCTAGATAGATAGAAAGGCAGACAGACAAATAGATAGACAGGTAGATCGATATTGGTGGGTGCCCAATCAATTCCCAGAGAACCCAAGTCACAGCTACCTTTGGTCAACAATACTTATTGATATTTTTGCATATGCAGGGAATAGCCTGGGTACCACATATACCAGTGGTGGCGAACCTATGGCATGGGTGCCAGAGGTGGCACTCAGAGCCCTCTCTGTGGGCACACGTGCCTTCGCCCCAGTCCTATGTCTTCAGCTGGGTTTTATAAAACCTTTTCGCTTTAGGCCTCTGCCACCATGTGCAAAAAAAAATATGTTCAAACAATCAGTCAATTTCAACTTCTTGCGGGAAAAAAAAAGATCTTGCAAAGTTGGAATTAATTGAACTTTTTAGTCCCACCCAGTCTGCATTACCACCGCAGCCACACCCACCCAATGGCCACACCCACCCGGCACCCGACGATGCATAAGTGGGTTTTGGGTTGCAGTTTGGGCACTTGGTCTCTAAAAGGTTCGCCATCACTGACATATACCATCTTATGACATATACCACCTTATCAGCATGCACTTTCTCCTGTGCCAGGGATAGGCAACCTTGGCTTTTTTATGATTCATAGACTTCAACTCCCAGAATTCCTGAGTCAGCCATGCTGAGGGGAAAGGGAGAGGTTTCGAAGCTGAGCCATGCTGGCTCAGGAATTCTGGGAGTGGAAGTCCACGAGCCATAAAAGAGCCAAGATTGCCTACCTCTGTCCTATGCCATGGCCACTTCCAAAATCTGATTAAAGCAATGTTTATCAACCTTGGCAATTAAGATACATGGTTGAGAAACACTGGGTTACAGCATTCTATGGCATCCCATCTATTACTGCCCTTACTTTAGCACCTGTTAGCTCCTGATATGCTTATGATAACTGTTGAGTCCTTGGCGAAAAGCAGACACGAGAAGCAGTTGTAGTTCTCAGGTTTCCTTTTATTCTGTGTTCAGCTTACAGGTGAAGGCTTCAGCAACGCCCAAAAGCTCCCAGCCTCTTATATAGGCAATTCCCGGGTCAATGTGTTACTTTTCCCGCGCCAGCACCCGCGCATGCGCACAGGCGCTGGCACAGCCTGTCTGGTCCCGGGCAGCTTGCACCTGCCGGGACTGCCTGCAAACGCCCCGAGCCCGTTTGCAAGGCTCGGGACATAACACCCCTTTCCCCCGGGCTAAGACTACTACCAACATACAATTATTTCTTGATGCAGTGTTCTACTCCCCAGTGCTCCTACTGTTTACTGGCTTTTGTTTAGCCAGCAATATTATGTAATCCTCTAAGTACTTAGGAGATTTCCTTGCTCTCTGTGACCTTCTCAGCTCTGGGTTTCTGACAGGTGTTCCCTGACTGAAGGGAGACGTGAACCTGTTCTCCTTATCTTGCCTTGGTGCCTTCCAAGGACTGTGCCCCAATGCCTGGCCTGCTTGCTCGCCCACCGGGCTCGTCAGGCCAGGGCTTCTGTCACTTTGTGACCTGGTTGACCTGCCTAGCTGTAGGCCCTCGGGCCCCTTGAAGTGATAGCCACTGCTGGGCGTCTCTGTAGAATCTCCTAGGTCCGTCCAAGACCTGTCAGGAGGCTGTCCATTCCCTAAACCCCGTTCTGTGTCCGGGCTCGTGTGGGTTTCTGTACCTTCCCCAAACTCAGTTACTCCCTGATTTGGGCTAGAGGTGTTGCGGTCGGGACTTGGTTCCTCGACCACCTCCCTGTATGTTTGACCCCCTGTAGGACTTGGGGTAAGGTCAGGCCAACTCTGGGGATTATGTGCCAGCTCTCTTGCGGGGTATGATTTATTGGGATGCTCCCGGGTATCCTCCCTGACTGGAGTACTGTGCTGTGCAGGTGAATAGTGATTGTACCCACGGGGTGACTCCCTGGCTGGAGTAG